TGAAAGATTTAAATTTAACTATTCTTTAATTCAACGTATATAGCAAACATGTACCGCGAACTAACTATTTCAAGCGATATTCCTGCCCGAAAACTTAGCAAAGCTTTCAAGACCGGTAAGCTTAGTCTTACATCAAACGAACTCAAGGGTAGCGGCTCTGTTATCCACCTTCATCCGACGTCTTATGAGAAAGCTATTAAGGCTCGTAAGGCTGGACGCGGTGTCAGACTTGACATTACCAAGCACGAAGTAAAGAAGGGATACAAGAGGGCTCAAGGAGGTTCTATTTGGTCCAAGGTGTGGGGAGGGATCAAGTCTGCTTTCAAATTCGCTAAAGATTCGGGAATCTTGAGCAAAGCCGTTGATGCTGCCGTTCCTGCGTTAGCAACGTATGCCGGTCAGCCAACGGCTGCCATCCCCGCGCGAGCTGCAATTAAGTCTCTAACAGGAATCGGTATTTACGACTCCAATAGCGACAAGGAGGGAGGACGTGTATCGATGGCTGACGTAAAGAAGGCTGCTAAGAATGCTCTTGGATATGCCAAACGTAGAGGAATCATCACTGATGCGGTCGATGCAGGAGAGAAGTTCCTACTATCAAAAGCTACCAAGCCTGAACATGAGGATCTAATCAGATCTATGCGAAAGGAGGTTCGTCGTCATTATGGAGTAGGAGTAGCAAAGAAACGCCCAGCGAAGGGTTCGGCGGAGATGAAGGAGCGAATGGCAAAGCTACGTGCTATGCGAAAGAAGGGTAAGTCTGGAGGTTCTTTTACATTGTAAAAAAATTATCGAAGATTTATTTTTTTGGACGGATCAAGAGCATAATAGATACCGAAGTATCACGGAAAATGACCTTCTTGTCATTTTGATTGTATATGCTTAGCGTAATACTGGCACGAGATCCGTTATGACAGTTCATCCACGCATACTGACTCGGTTTGTATGAAATGACCTTTCCAATAGCGGCATCGCCTCTATCAAAAGCGCTGACAATATCGCCTGAGGCTACGTATTCGTTTTTGATAAGATCGCAACGGACGATGTAGGAACTGGTTGGATGGATCTGAGGAATGATATTAGAGAGCTGAGCACTTGCAACAGTAGCTGGAGAAGCAGGATATGACCCAAGCGTCAATCCTACTACTTTTCCGAATTCAGCATTATCGATGATCAATCGAGGGACACGAGTGGTAGTCGGCAATCCACTACCGCCCGAGGAATATAGATCTGTGGTAGGTCTTGTCCATGTACCCCCAGCTGTAGGTAGCGTTGTAGGTGTAGGAGAGAAATCAAGCTGACAAGCGTAATAGACGCTGTTAGCACTCATTTTGAGGTAGAATGTATTATTCCCAGACGGATTGATGAGATAGGCCCCAGCATTGACAAGAGCCGTCTGAATGCTTCGATTGATATCGTCGTAGGAGTAGATTCCATCAGGAAGGCTTAGATTGATTGTCGATGTAGTTGCAGCGGTAGGTACTTCGATTTTGAAGGTTGTGTTCTGAAATTGCATCGAATCAATATTATACTCGGAGTTATACATTGAAATCGATTGAATAGCACATACTACATCGCGGAAGTCAGCGGCCGATCCGGGAAAAGAGTATTTCCAGGTTGAGTTGGTTCCATCCTGTACCAGATTGGTGCTATCGAGTTTGATAAAGCTGGACATATTGTTTTATATGAATGGAAGCATATTTTTTTATAAAATTAGTCCTCAATTCGAATCACTCTATCAAAGTTATACCTGATCTGACCCTTGACGGAATCTATGAAGAGCATTTGCCCCTTTCGCTCCGTAGCCTTGTTGTAGTAATAGACGATTGAACGATCATCTACTCCCTTGATATTGAAATCTTTCACAACCATCTGGAGATCACGCTTCGAATTCGCCTTTAGGATAGCTACATACTCTGAATTCAAGCGTATCATCTTATCCGTGGCAAAGTAGCTGTGGCTTAGGAATATCGTACTGAGCTTGAAGTGGCGACCTCTTGTATGGTGATGAGAGAACAAATTCTTCTGAAGTAGCTTATCGTTGCTGTAGTCATCTATGATGACGAGCTCAGGTTTATTGGAGTTGATTGGTGTATGACGAACCTGATCAACACTTGGAGGCGAATCAGGGTCGGCGAATGTGATAAAGCCATCCAGCTTGTCGCGAAGATATTCGTACAACTCCTGATGAGGATTACGGGCAATGATCGTTAGATGAGCGAATACGTGAGGAGAATGTTTGAGGATGTACATACATAGATTGTTCTTCCCACTGAACGATGGCCCCAGAACCACCATTCTAAACAACGCTTTGATGTCAAGCGCTGGAATATCACCCATCGATGCGCTTTTGAACTTTTTTGGGATTGAAGCCCCAAAATCAGGAATACCGCTCATGATTATCGTCTAATCTATATAGCTTTAGACAAAATGAGTTCTGGTTTTTCTTATCCTCAACCAACATTCACATCTTCAATCTATAACCCTGCATTCTACCTATCGTTGGATGCCAGTGGTTTTCTAACGTATGACTATGCTCAGACTCTTTATCTAAACAAGTATGACTATCGTTTGTCATACATTACCGGTATCTCTCAAGGAATTGCAACCCAAGGAGTAGCACTTGTCCCTGGCTCTGGTGGTGATATCAGCGGCCTCGGGGCAATCAGCTGTAGTAGTCTGACTGTTAATGGATCAACTATTACAAGCGCTCCATCTTACGTTTTTAGGAATTACGCCTGGTACCGCGGATCTAAAGAAAGCATTGGTACTTGATGGATCGAAGAATGTTTCAGGAATCAGTTCATTATCAGCTTCGAGTCTTACAGGCACGCTACAAACCGCGGCTCAGACGAATATTACCTCAGTAGGTACGCTGAGCAATCTCACCCTGAATACGGGTGGGACAGGTCTATTCATTCCGAATCTCAAGTTCTGGGATGGCGTTAGTGCATGGGTTAACTTCAATCATGCTTACTTTCTTAACGTTATCGAGGGAGGAGCTTCCCCCAGTACCGCTGTCGTACTCAGTAGTACAAAGGATTACTCTGGAATTCGAGATCTAACAATATCGCGCAATTTTATAGCTTCAACTTCAATATCATCACCAACGCTGACATGTGATACGATTTCGAAAAGCGGCACTCAAACGATGAATGCAACTACCCTCAACATAAATCCTACCACTCTTCAAATCAAAGGAATAACCCTGAATGCTACTGGAGCGGAGCTGAACAAGCTTTCCGGATGTACAGCAACTACAAGCGAGTTGAATTATTTGGATTTGACTACTGGGGCAGGAACGGCTGAAGCATTGAAGGCACTCGTTCTAGACTCTAATAGCGCGTTGACAACAGGTATCACATCACTAACTTCGACCAATCTGATCTCAACGACGACCACTCAATGCCAAATTGCTGCTGGTACTTCATTTACATCGACAACGCGTGCGTCTGATTTCAACCTCATTATCCGAAATCAATCTAACACGGTTGGGGCTCAGGCTGGATTATCGTTCGTGATTGAAGGTACTAGTGATATGACTACGTATACACCATCTGTCAATCTATATTGTACCAGAACAGCTACTGCCGCTCAATATTCGATGGCCGATTTTGCAATTAGTACCAGAAGTGGTTCAAATGCTCTTAGTGCTATGACTGAACGCATGCGTATCACTCAACAGGGGTATATTAGATTCGGATCATCGTCATCGACCGCGAAAATTGATATTACATCAACCGCGAATTTACTAAGCGGATCGTGGCAGCGTGCAATGAGAATCGCTAATGATCAGGCAACGCCTATCGAATTCGAAGTTCAAATTTTCAATGATGTTGCTGGAGGTAGCAATGGAGTAGCTTTAGGGACCACTACAAGCGATCCTCTTAGGTTCATGGTTGGTAATACTACCAAAGCATATCTCAACGACTCTGGACGGTTGGGAGTTGGAAACACAAGCCCCGAAGCGACCATCCACAGTGGAGGAGAGGTATGGGCAAACAACTTCATGCATATCAAGGGTAATGGAGATGGTTTCGCTCGTTAACGATTCAATTGGAGCCAGACTGACTACCCAGCGATCGGAACTGACTCTACGGTCGGGGCGATCCGTCTAGGCAAATGCGATGGAAACTATAATTGGACAGCCTATGTTCCGGTGAGAGGTGGTTCATATACCAACGCATCAGATCAGAGATTGAAGAAGGATATAATCGATTTAGAATATGGAATAGATGCGGTCATGAGAATGCGACCAAAACGATTTAAAATGATTCAGGAGCAAACCTCACATGTTGGATTCATCGCGCAGGAAATGTATGAGGTTATACCGGAATCTGTTGATATCGGAGCAAACGATGATCTCAATGCTGATGGATTTCCAATCAATCCATGGGGTATAGATCTATCTAGCCTGACATCGGTTCTGTGCAAAGCGATTCAGCAGCAGCAGCAACAAATCAATGAACTCAAGCAAAAATTGGACTCAATTATATAGAATGGCTCCATTCAAGTTCCGACTATCAACTCGAAAAGGCAAAAAATATGATGCTGTTTTTACTGATGGGAGGGTTGTATCTTTTGGTGCTATTAAGCGGACTGGTGAGCCTTATCAACAGTATCGAGATCGCACATCGTTGAAAGCTTACAAAGACTACGATCATAACGATAAGGCTCGCCGAGAGAGCTACTACAAGAGGCATGGACCCCTTGACGAATCAAATCTATACACAGCCGATTGGTTCTCGAAAAAATATCTTTGGTAGAGTATATATATCATGGGTTGCGTACCAAGTAAAAGGCAGATCACAAAGGATTTGACAAATCCTGAAACTGGTCAAGTCATCGGCTCAATAACGATGCGCGATGGAGTAGTATCTACTGGTGATAATGCTTATATCCCCATGCGCAATGTCCACAACGGCAAGAATGCTATCATGGCTATCGATATCGGTGATAAAAAAATTAGAGTCTACCGTGAGAAACAAACAGAAGTATCTCTATAGAGCAAAGGTTTTCACGCTCTTCGACTTTTTTTTCGGCTGGTACGCCCATACCCGTCCACCTTCCGTTTGGGTAGCTGCTTCCACCTTCTTGATTGACTTATCGAGGTCAGTAGCCCATGCTGCTGCTTGGGTCTGTTGAGGTCGGTCATGGATGATTAGATTCTTCATGATGGACTTGAGCTCAGCAATGTTGAGATCGCTGTTGTCTCCATAGCTGCCGCCTGAACTGGCGATGATGCGGGGGTTGAAAAAGAACATAGCTATATTAGTCCGAAAATAAAAATGGCCCAAGCGATAATTAGAGTAGTAGGAAATTTCATAGTTTATAGTAATCGAGTGATAATTTCCTTGAACTCCTTATCATCAACCAGACGATTGCTGTACATATCCACCGTGAGAGACTTCAGCTGTTTGATGATGCTAGGATTATCGTTTCCTAGCTCTAATTCACCTTTCAGCTTGTCATACTCGGCGCGGAGCGTCGAAAGTGGATCCTCGAGCTTATCGTGGAAGTTGTACTGGAGGTGAGTGATTGCTAGGATTTCCTTGAAAAGCTTCTTATCATCGATCGATAGCTTATCGTATGAGGCTTGATCAATTTGCTGCATATAGACTAAGGTTCGGATCATTCCTTGGAGACTCTCACTGATTTGACATTTTGGACCACATTTTCGGCGATTCGGCTGTACAATGACCAGTGTTTTTGCATCAAGATCGGGAATTCTGATGTATTTGCTCCCAAGCTGCTTATAGGTATAGGCACTAGGTGTAGCTAATCCCTGGATCTCGTTGAGATTATAGGTACGACCTCGGCGAACCACACCTTCCAATGGAGCAACTCCTGCACCACGCAATCCTCGCCCCTTAAGCCCGCTACCTTGAGCTAAATGACGAAAGTGAGCACGGACATTAGCTCGGTCCACCCTTGCTCGAGCCGAATCGGGCATTGGATGATCATTGTACCTAATTTCATTGAGTTCTTGTGCTCTGGTTATATAATCACGTTTCTTAACCGTATAAGCTGCCTTAGTAGCTTTTACAGCTGCTTTTGAAGCTCTTACAGCGTCCTTATCGGCTTCTGAATTTGAGTTCTTTAAATCATGTAGATTCTTTTCCAGCTGACTGTAGGCTTCTCCGTATGCGCGATAGGCTTCTTCAGCCTCATCGTGTAGCTTTTGTAGCTGCTCGTCCTCATAGCCATCGTAACCTAGTGGGCTTTTAATGTCAGAAACGTTGCTGAAGATAGCTTCACGGAGTAGTTTGAGGTTATCATCAAGAATTTTCTCTAAATTCTTATCATCATTCTCATCAACGTACTTACCATAATCTTCAAGCTTGGTTAGTAAGGATTGAAATGTATCCATCCATCTGATAGTTTTCATTAGGTAAGCCATAGCATCACCCATCACTGGTTTGTGCTGTGCATTCTTGAAGTTCAGTGGTTTAGTATCTGTCGGCATGCCAAGATAGTAAGTAGGATGGGTTTTAATACCCTTATCGGAATCAACAATCGGATACAACCTTGTGGCAATCGATACTCCATTATTAGCAAGTTTCTTATAGTACTGGGTGAGGATGGTTTTAGCTTCGAGATCTGGGATAGACATTAATTTATCCATATCTTCATCTTTTCCGGTTTTAAGTCCTGGAAGTTCTTCAAAGTCCCCATCAAACGCATCGTATGCTTTGGCAAGTTTCTCCTTATCCATTTGAGTGTTTAGCGATAGCACCAATCCCTTATCCTTAACCATTGCTACGAATCGCTCGAGTGTGGCTATCCAATTGACTTCCTTCTGTACAGCAGGGCGATGCTTATTAGTGTCGGTTCCAAATACATAGATTATTTGTATGGGCCGGGCCCCGGATCTGGTTTACCCATTTGTATGGACTGGGTCCTTGAGACTGGATTAACCCACTCTTCACTCCTCTTTAGTTTAGCCATAGCCATTTCAACTAGCTAGGCAAATTGCAGAATTAAAGTGTAATGAAATTTGATTCTCCAAATACATAGATTCGGAAATTGGCGTCAAGCCATAGATACCCCTCTTTATAAATTTTCCCGTCCTTGAGGATAGGATTGATTTGCTTATGAAGATGATTGGCTTCTAGCAAAGCACTATTTTGAATAATCAACCATGTAAGATTGTACTTGGCGTCGTCATCATCTAGCTTTGTAGAAGTAGATTTGTCCTTGTACTTTAAATCTAGTCTTGGCTCCTTAAGTGGAGTATCTAAGTCCTCAATATCATCATCACCTCTCCGCTTTCTATCTGATCGAGGTGGTTTGTCTTCCCTACGCATCGCATCAACTTCATCGATCGAGTTGCTTTCCCCATCGTAGAAAATATCGCGAATCTTTCCTTCAGTGGCAATCCAATCGATCAAGTCATATCTCTTGTATTTACGACCGCTACGCACTGAGCGGAGAGAACCCTTTTCACTAATTACTAGGTTTTGATCATCTCTACCAGTTTTCTTTTTCACTGGGTGAATACCAAGCGCCACCCAGTTAGGATTATCCGTAAAGAACTTTTTAATCCATTCACGCGCATGAACTTGCTCCTCAATATCTCGAATAGAGGTGTCTGCCTTTTTCTCATTGAATATGTCAGTGTTTACACCAGTATCTGTCATTCTTGCACTATTATCAATTCCAACATCATCATATCAGGTCTCACGTGGACCCAACCATCACTGGTTTGAGGCTTTGCTGTGGTCGAAGCATCACTTGTTTGAGGCTTAACAGTAGCTTCTGCATCGCTTGTTGTAGGTACTGCGCTAACACCAGCATCTACCATTAACGGATGAACATTTGGCATGGCTTCAGTTTTAGTTGATGTTGAGGACTCAGGGTTTTTCTGGGAGTTTTCAATTTTCAGCTTTTTTTTAAGATTTCCGCGAGCGGAATTTTTAATTCATCAGGCGTTTCTTCGTCAGGTCCGACAGAAATATCAGTCTGTGTGGATTCAGCTGTTTTCTTAGTAACGGTGGTGATGCCCTTGATGATGTCACTAGCCCATGATGCGCCTTCGTACATCTGACGCTTGGAATTGGCTTGTCGAACCCGTCGTTGAGCTCTTTCGAGCAACTCTAGTCGCTTCTGCTCTCTTTGAGCAAGTGATGAAAAATTTGGAAACATATCGATCCTATATAGATGTTAGGCATAAAAAAATGAGTATTCAAATTACCAATAGCTCGGCATAACTGAGTCATGGCGGAAAGGTAGATACGAATGACAAATACGATTTCGTTCGTTTAATAGATTTAAATATTGGTCTTTAATACAATGGAATGGAACGCCAAAGATTTCCTCCAATTCGTGTCTGTATTTATGATTGACCACTGTCTTACGAAAATTCGCGCTTGCATCAAGATTCAGCAACTCAGTTTTGATTCGACTTACCTCCTGAATGATCCACAGCTTTCGTCGGAGCTGTACAAGCTCACGTTGGTTCTCTACGCAGTTGGAACACATTCTTTTATCTATATGAAGTCATATATTTATGCAATCGTTTTCAAAAAAAAAATTGATAGATATAGATGAGTCAAAGCTTACAGAGGATTGCTCTATTAAACTTATTTTGAAGCTAGTTCGACTCATTTTTTTATCGACTTCCAGTACTCATTCTCTAAGGTTGATCTCTTGTTCTTATTGACTAATCTAAGATTATCTTGTGGCTCCCAGGAGTCAAGTTCATTACCGAGCCATTTTATCAGATATTTGTACTTCCCAGTCCGTGTCTTCTTATGATCCAAGATCTTTTCCGCCTCAAGAATATCACCTCGATTAATAGTAGCATCTGTAGTCTCTGTTTTGACCAGTTTAAGATCGTTTGGAGCCTTGTAGAGGGTATGACCATTCTTTGAGCGGATTTGGACTCGGTAGCCATCAATTCCAACTATCATATAGACTGCATTGCTCCACCGAGCCGATTCCTTACCAAATGCATGCTTCTTGAGACGGTATAATACGCTTGATCCGACCTCAAACTCCTTCTCAATTCTATCGGCTTCTGCTTGATTATGACTCAGATGCACATCCATTACTTTACCTTTGGCATCACTCGGGGCCATACCAATCGAACGATGAAACGTGCTATTGTAGTTTTCGATCACATCACCAATAAGCTTTTGCGTAATTCTATTGGGGGACATTTTAGTTAGTCTCTGCTTCAACGTTCTGTTAAATCGCTCGATTTTTCCCATAGTACCGTGATCACCTGGATCGTTGTTGTAGTGTTCAATTTTTTTGGATTTGAAGTATGCTTGAGCCTGCGAGTTCATGAACTCGCTACCGTTATCGCTTGTAATGATATCCACTTTATGGAGTCGAACAAACGCTTTAAGCGCTGCTAACACAGTTGCTGCTGTCTTGTTCGATAAGACCTTGGCAAAACCCAACCTCGAGTTGATATTGATAGCAGTCAAAATTGGTCGCTTCTCCCAAAACGCGAGGTCAATTTGCCAAGAGTTAGGGTTATGCGAAGCTATTTTGAACCCATCGTATCGCTTTTTCTGCTCCTGAAATCGCTGAATATCGCTCTGGTTTGAGAACCATTCCTTGACGATTTTCATTGTTATCTTCGGCTTTAGTTCTTTCGCCTTCTGGTACAAGGCTTGTGCCCCCACATAGCCCGTTTTGGGGTTATAGTATAATTTGGACAACAGCTGATCCATCGCTCTATATGGTTATAAAACAAAAAAAATCCCCTGCCGGGTAGTTGCTTATATGTCGAGCGGCTCGGTGGTGATACCATCCGCAAGTACACGACGCTTGTCATAGTAGTAATTTAGAGCTGTTTTAGTCTGGCTGTACGTAATTATTGACTTACTCTCCTTACTGAGTCTAAACCCCTTGTTGGTACCCTGTAGCGTGATGCGATCGCGAACAACTGATTCAAAGCCATCTGGGTTGAGGACGTCGCCATTGCGTCCAGCACTCTGCTGGACTCCCTTCGCTGAAACCTTGACCTTGTAAGATTCATCTGGTAGGTAGCAAATGTAGTTCTTAGAGGACAATGATACCATAGCATCACCAGACCACTCTTCCTTAAATAAACCAGGGGTTCGACGGTCAAACTTGGCTACAGTCTCATTATAGTCGCGCGGGAACCACTCATACTTGTGCTGCTGAAAATGCTCACGAAGCTCAGGCTTGATGCACTCCTCAAATGGCTTTTCACAGCTGAAAGCGATGTAGCCAGAGTCGGTGTCCATCTCCTGATACTGAAAATTTGAGCGGTCGAAGTAGAAGTCAATACAATCGTAGTAGAACTCAAGCATGCGGAGCTTAGCGAGCTGATAGATTGCAATCGAGAGATGAATTGGGTTCTTGTTGTTGAGCTTTCTCTTCTTCATTGTGAATTCACATGAATCATTCAACTCTTCCATTCCATGGAAGGTGAAGTGCTCAATCTTTGATTTAATTGCCTTCTCATCCGACTCATACTTGACCTCCTTATGCTTGCTCATGTCCATGCCACTGCGACCGAACGCTGAATTACCTACTAGTTTCATCATCTCAGCAATCATGGCCTTAGACTTATCGGCATCACCTTCCCGTCGCGCGTTCGATACGGCTTCCATGAATGGAGCAAACGCCTTGTGAGAGCTAGCCCTGATGAAGCTGTAAGTCTTGGTGATCTCCATGCCATGAGAAATGTACCATTTGGGTAGCGGTGCATAAATGAGGATCTTCTCACCAAAGTAGCTCCCGATGAGTTTGCGAGCCGGCTTTGCTCGGCTTTGCTTGCACCCCTCGTTGTACTCGAACATGTGCTGACCGATGACACTCCGATCGCTGCAGTCGATAAGGGTGTTCTTGAAAATTGGGGTCATTTCACTGAAATAGGGTTTGAGATGCTCTGGTGTACGGATATCACACTCTAGGAAGCCAAAGATCTTGCCATTTACAATATCATCGACGATCCCTGTGTATGCCTCGATGGTGGTCAACCGTCCACATGGCATCTCGTTACCAAGAGCCCACAAATACAGAGCATTAGCATCGTAGCCGATGATTTTTTTGCAGATCTTACCCCCTCGAATCTTGGTCTCGTTGCGTTTCGCGTATCTGTTGAAAATGATAGAAGGGCCACCAGCAATGTTCGCCTTCATCTTGGTGTAGATGTCCTTCTCCTCTCTATCGATACTGTACACCAACCTGTCTGAGTTGAATTCAAGTAGCTTCTTGTGGCGGAAGCCCTTGAGCGACATGTTCTTGCGAGCAACGTTGCATCCCACACAGCTGATCAAGATATTGCCATCAATGTGTCCGAGCTTGTTGTTGATTCGGTCAGCCGAGGCAGTATCAGCTGTGAGTTGCTTATAGCATAGACCACACAGGTACTTTTGACGCTCTAGCAGCTCATCCAGGTGTTGTATGGTCATACCGAACTCGCGGTCAGCCTTCTCATCTTGCTCGATGTAGCCTAGGTAGCGCTGCTCAGGGAAGTCGAATGCCTTAGCTGGGACTCTAGGTTGCTTAACAAGTTTGGAGAAGCACGTCTGATACATGACTTTCTCAGAGAGACCACACCATCAGCGAACATATCAAGTTCGAAACGTTTGAATAGTTCTCGCTGGGCTTTGATGGCCTTGATGAAGGGGACTACATCGAGGTTGTTGTACCAAATTAGTAGATCCTTGATTGACTTCATGCCATAGTGCCCCCATACGAACTGTACCCGCGCAAAGTCCTCATCACTGATGCTAGTGCTGTCGAATGCTGACTTAGGAGGGACTTCCGACTGACTGAGTACGTCAAATGACGTAATGTACTCGTACGGGAAGATACCTTTTCCTAGGCCACAGACGCATCGAATCTTGTCATCACACTTGCACTCACCGAGATATGTCGACAAGTACTTCGCATAGCTGGTGCCTGCCGGAACATAGTTGCTAATGTCAAGCATCTTCATGTCTGACGTGGCGATGCACATGTAGCTAGGGTTCTTGATGACTGATGTGATGTTGTCAGTATCGATGACTGCAAACAGGTCCGCCTTGATAAGATTGATGTCGTATCGTCCAGAGTTGAATCCGAGTACTGGTACCTGATCAATGCACTGCTTCAGGTTTCCATAGTCAGAGCGCTTCTTACCGAATGTGAGCTTGCTGTGGAGATCGAAGAAACTAGCAAAATCTCCGTTCTGAATCCAAGCATTGACATCTTCCATCTTGTACGTCTTACCCAAGTCTAGGCCAGGAACCTCAGCGTCAGTCAAACCATGGACGTTGATGATCTTGTGTAGCAAAGTCTCATACTTCGAGACGTTGTACCGCTGAATCTTAGCCGCAACTTCCTCGATGTACTGGAACATATCCTTGAGCAACTCCTTCGGGTCATTGCTGACGAAGCATCGCACCTCCTCAGTCAAGCTGTCGGCCACGGTAACAGACACAGGAATGTGTTCGTTTGTGAAGATAGTATTCTCTCCGTTTTTGACACCCGTAGGCTTGAGGATAGCCTCAAAATCATAGACAATGAAGTGATCGATGTAATGGTCAGCATCCTTGATGGAGTACTGAGTCAGCATGGGACGAATGCTGTTCGGAGCGGGTTGGTAGATGGTTGGCTGAGCTGGGAACGATTCGATGTTCACGAGTTCGCATTGGTTCTTAGTGTGGTTGCGTAGCTTATCAGAGCTAACAAACACCATCTCACACGTAGAGCATTGGTACTTCTGCTGGAGCATATCAACGTTCGTGATGTAGAGAGCGTGATTCTCGGGCGACAGGATGTTGATCGAATCATAGTCCTTGTCCGAGCAGCGAATGCATTCAACCTTGCCCGTCTCAAAATCCATGTTGAAGACGTTGATGTTCAGCTTGAAGCACTCCTCAAGCTCATCGAATTGGAGAATGTCGATAGGCTTGAAATTGCGGAACAGACCCAGAGTGTAGGTGATCTCCTTGTACGAACAGTACTGCTTGAAGGCTTGTTTCACCAGAGCCTGGATTCTGCGAGGATCCTTCTTGGCTCCCTCCTGCTTGTGATAAGCAATGCAGTGGAAGACACACTTGTTGTTTGTCTTGGGGAAGTTGATGACGGCTTTTATCACGAATCACCTTAGGAATGACAGCCTCGCTATCACCCAGAGCATGGTCGCGTTGGTAGATATAGATTTTGAAGCCAGTAAGCCCCTTCACCATGTACCCGGAGCTGGGGTAGTTGAGCTTGTCAGCCAACTCCATGGAGCGAATCTCCGAGATCACCTTCTTACGAATATCAGCCTTGCTGTTGATAGCTACAGGAGTGCTAAATACAGACGTGTTGCTAATATTCGGGTGGAAGTAGCGAGTCTCGCTATCATCAGTTCTGCTGACAAGCTTGTATCCAAGAGCGATGTTGACCTTGAAGGCAGACTTCTGGGTTGCGAGCACGTTATCGAGCTTGTCGTAGAACTCAGCAGGCTGAATTCCCTCGTAGAGGTGCGACTCCATGTTCTTGCCTTGGTAGAAGCGGTACTTACTGTCTTCCTTGAAATCAGCAGCCACATTCTTTTGGAGCTTGCCTAGACTGATCTGGTACTGCTTCGCTACCAATTTTTGGTTGGTGGGGTGGGAAATGTTGTATACCATGCGCCCCATCTTGCCACGTACCTTAATACGGTAGCTACTACCCCATCGAATGGGTTGAATATTTAATCTCTTTAATCCTTCGAGTTCGTATGCAAACATGTTGCCTATATATGCTTGACTATATTATTCCGTAGATATGACTTTATAATTATTTGACCTTGTATCAGGATCGACTTTATATCTTAGTCATTTACAAAATATTCTGAAATTAATTAATTCAAATATTTGGCTTATACCTTTTTGGAGGTTTTAAGCCATTGTCTTTTTTTATAAAAAATTACAATAAAAAATAAATGACTATATTGGGATTGACTTTTTGAGAAAAAAATTAATTAATTAATTAAGCTCGGTTTCATTATTAAGTTCGACTTCACCATTAAGTTCGGTTTTGGGTTTACGCTTGCGAGCTCGAATCTGGTCTCTATTCTTGTCGTCGTTGCTCTTTTGATACGACAAGCGAGCGTCGCGTGTGCGCTGATAGTAGCGCTTCTGTGCTGCTTTGATGCGTTCCTTGCTAGCTTGGTATTGCTCAGGAGAGTACGCCATCATTGTATATTACTAACTTTATATTTATTAGGATGAAAAAAATGTCACTGCCCCTTGTGACATCGCCGATGTTCCTTGCCAGCTAAACCAATATTAATGGTGAAGCAGAGAATTGGCAGAATCGTGTATTATAAGTTTAAAGTAGTGTCGACGGACCGCCACGTCAAAATGAAGCTATCCGGTCCTGTAATACTGCTGGGTCCAAGCACACACGTAGCTAGTTGTCTTCCGACAGGATGGAGTAAATCATGCCCGCAATCTGCTTCACTGATTCAGGTGCAGGAACGTCATTCTCCATCACCATCATCACGGGTGTCGCACGCTCAATTTTTTCATCCAGACTTCTCGAGAAGACCCATTCCAAGAAGTTCGTGACAATGCTGTACACTTTCGGCAGTCCTTCTACATCCGCAAGTGCTTCACTTCCCACGTAAGCTTGAGCAAGACCCTGCTGGATATCGTCACGTTTCGCTTCCACAATGCAAACTCGTTTCTCGCCGCGCTTAAGCACGAACTCAAAGGCTCCGTCTCCGTGAACACGTTTCCCAATCACGGTTTCTTCGGCCAGGATTTGGACGCCTCCATCGAACAGCGCACAGACACTTGCAAGCACGGGCACGATGAAGTGCAGTCGCTTTGCTTCTTTGCCAGTAATGATATCTCCAAAAGCCTTGACCAAGATAGGAAAGTATCTATGCAGCGCATCAAGCTTTTCGTCAGGGATAGGCTTTGACGATGGTCGATACTTGGTCGCTGGCATGATGCTGTCAATCTCCGGGAACGACACGTACGAGAAACCCGTGGAGCCGGCAGCCTTCTTCGCTTTCTTGTTCTTATCAAGAACCTCGTTCAACTTGTCCCATCGTCTCTTGCGACTCGGGTGCGGTGCAATTTCAGCGTCCTGGACTTCAAGCCACTCCCGATCTGCAACCACCAGCACGTGAATCGTCTTCTTCGTTGGAGCACCTTCAAACACGTCGCCAATCTCATCTGCTGGGTCCATTTCCACGTTCAGCAGTGTCTTCACTTGTTCAGGAATGCCTCCACTTCGCATAGAAATCACATCAGGGTCCTTCGATGAGAGCCACGCGCCGTCCACCGTCTTCGCCAGGAAGAGCTGCAGCTTGTCTGCGTCGACGTCCTTGAAGTCGTTCGGCTTCTTCGCCTTGATCGCGTCCTTCAAGTGATCCACCGAGTCGCTCTCGTCCACTCGCACCGAAAACGCGCTGCCCGCCGCACCAACGATCGCACAGAAGAGCTTCACCATCTTTCCTCGAGCCGGCAGGGAGAATTTCTGGCGTACTTAAGCGGACATGAAGGTGTGTGTCATAGATTTTCAACCAATGATGAGACGCCACGTCGCGCTGGTCCTTGGCTACATATTGCTTTTTTATCAATATAGTTAGAACGTTGTCGGTCGAGCGGTCCCGAAATGCCCTAAGAAACAAAAGACGTGGCTCTCGCTATAAGGTGGCCGAGAGGTTGCGTCGTCAAAATAGCAGCTGCTACTGGAAGAATGCGTCAAAGAAAAGCGATGCTCTTGGGTATGCTCGCGTAGCAACAGCAGCTCATTCGAGAGCAACAACAAGACATGGCGAGCCTTAAAACGAACATGAAAGCCATCTTAGACGCTCTAACGGACCGGCTCGAGGAGTGCAGGATCGCCGAGAAGTGAGGCGGCTACGTCGTGTGCTCGCTGCTTCGGTCAAGCGTAGACGCCCGCGACAGGAAGCAAGTGTGTACCGAAATTCGTGAGAAGAGGGAGGCCCAGGCTGCGGGCGAAATGCTCATCGTGGCTGGAGAATACCGTCAACAAGGAAGTCGACGGGCTTACAGCGACCGGTCGCCTTTTCGTGCATCAGCTGTCGACGGGAGGGGCGCTGCAAGTTATCGCTTTTCGGCTACGCAAGGCCACCGCCAAGAAGCCGTGCTGACTCGGAGCGAGCTGCCGAACCCCGCCACCCACATCAGAACGTTCGAGCTGACGTGGGAGGACGGTCACCGCTTCGAGATGTTCACTCCGATTTCGTCGTGCGGGCGGAGCTGTTAACGGCAACGCGCGAGTTGGAGCTGGAGACCGACCACAATCAGTTCGTCCTTCTGGACGAGCAAAGCGACTTCCACGTGTCAAACCTTCCCAAGTACTCGTGAAATTCCTTCGTGACATTCCTGCAGTATTTGTAGTTGTAGCGAGTGTTCGTCGTTTGAATAATGGCTGCATGTTTTCATGAAGTCGGTTTGTACTAGGTTTGTCCTCAAAGGGGAACCGTGGAGGCGAATGGAGACAGAGGGAGATAACCATTGTTTGCGTGTTAGAGAGCGGGATGCATAACGAAGTCTACGTCGCTCTGCACACCGCCGTCTGACGAGCCACAAACTACCAGCATCGTTCATACTACCAAACGAAATTCTACCATGTAGAAGAAGTCAACAAAGTTACAATAGCCGCTTGCGAAGCTGCTCGAGGAACACAAACGTCAGCAGCGTCTGCGGGCCGAGCCGCATGTAGGCCGGCAGCCAGCCCTTGTAGAGTCCGCGCAGGCCTTCGTGCTTGACCACCTTGACGAAGCAGTCAGTGGCGCTCTTGTACTCGTTGTTGTGCATGTTCATGAGTCGTGTCTTGACCACATCCGCGGGCGCGCAGGCCGTCGTAGCCACCAGTCCGGCCACCATACTGGCCAGCACGTGGGTCTGCAGGTTGTCGTGCATCGGCACCATTGTGTTCTCGAGGATCGTCGACTTGGCCAGGTCGTAGGCCGCGATCTGACCCGTGGTCAGCAGCATGGCGCGGATCATATTGGGGCGCACGCCGCGCATCAACGCGGCCAGCCCCTCCTCCTTCTCCACGCGGAGGAGGCCGTCCACCGCGTGCTTGTAGTTGCGTCGCTTCTCCGGCGGCAGGCGGCTGTCCGCCTGCATGCGGATGTTGACGATGTCCGCCGGGTTGCCGAAGGCGCCGCCGATGACGCCGCCGGTCATGCCCAGCAGCACGTTGTGGCCCGTGGAGATGGGCTGGCCGTCGTTGCGGCGCACGGCCTCGTCCTTGAGGTAGTGGTAGACCGCGAAGCGCATGGTGGAGTACGTGCCCTCCCTCATGGCCCCTCCACTGATGCCCTGGTAGAGTCCGCGCAGCCCCTGCTGGTGTAGAATGCGACGCACGGCCGTCACGAGCCCCATATTCTCCTTCTTGGACGTCTGCAGGTGGATCTTGAGCAGGTCGAACGGGTGCGTGAAGAACACGGCGCCCACGGCCGACATGCCGCCGAACGCGTAACTGGCAAGAGGCGGGCGGGGCTTGATGGCGCTGGTTGGGTCCTTGAGGTGGGGAGCCTCCAGAGGCAGCTTCATGGTAGTCGTCGTGGAACACTGACTGACGTACGTCTTCCGGCGGGTACTGTAGCGGAGACTTTGTGACTGGGTCGTTTGGATCGCGCCGATTGGAGGAAAGGAAGAGAGGGTGATGATTGGTTGAAAAGGGGAACTGAAGTTTTCGCTCGTCATCCGCGTGATTGCGGCTGGGAGGCAACTTCAGCCGACTGCCGACAAAGTTGGCTAAGGTGCTACAAAGATGACATTCGTATTCACACGTCAAGAAAGAAGTCATATTTTGGGCTGACGATGTAGTACAGGTCTGTGAGGCCTACCGGCATTGGTTTCATTAGCACGCCCGGGCGGGCGCGCCCGGGGGGGGGGGGCGGTGTGTGTGTGTGGGGGGGGGGCTCCTCCAATTCAGTATTATATTGAATTGGTAAAACTGTTTATCCGTAATAATGATTTAAATATGACGATCACCAATAATAACTATTATACTGATTAAATATTTCAATTTCATGTACCATGACTGTGTTTTTGTATACCCTGAAATCATACGACCAATAATATAAATTTCAATATGGTGTTTGCCAATAATATATATTTTCTTCATATTTATTGACAATTTTCATACTGAATTTTTTTATTCATACCCCTGGGGGTGGGGGTGGGGGTGGGGTGGGGGGGGGGGGGGGGACGTAGTTCGTAAGTTTGCTTTGCTGTGGTTTACAGACAATCCCCTCGGTAGCCATGGCGTTGGGTTTTATTCCTAGGTGAGGGTATTCCTGTCGTAGTGTGTACCATGGGGTGGTGTACCACATGACGGATTTTACCGAATACAAGCCCTTAACAAAATAGTAGCCCCGTCACGATTTCGCATTTGGATCAGAGAATAGAAGCCCGGTACATATTACAAGCCCCCTCGAGTCGTACAACATTTTCATGATGTTACATGCATATTCTTTTCTACTTTATAAGTAGACAAAATATGTTAGGTGGCAGAGTAACGCGTAGTGGCTGCATGATGAAAAGACTATCGAATATGAATGCTAGGCAGTTGGTCGTTTAGCACATAAGACTCAAAAACTGCAGAGCTGCTCCACGTCGTCAAAGTTGTGCTTGATCACGACCTTGACGCCCTTGCTGTGCGCATGGCAAAGCAGTTGCTTGTCTTCATTCCAGGCCACGGTCGTGAGCTGCCAGTGGCAGGGGGCAGCGGACAACAAGCAAGCGAGTAGTGCGTCAGTGCATTTAAGTTATATATCGCTCGCGTAGTACAATATGAAATAAGCGTAATGCTATTTTGTAGCTTTGGGTGAAGTACGCGTTGGTGGATATTTCGTCGTGATGCGCAGGTGCACTTTAAACCGATGATGACGCTCTCCGAGGTGTGTGCAGGTATTTGCGTGAATATTGTTGGAGGAAATTCCAAGCTTAATTATTGTTAGTAGACGGCGGTCCTCGTTTATTACCGTTCAACCGCGGACTACCAAATCGGAGCCACTAATAATGATTAACCGTACAGGCTTAAGAAGTGCGCACAGACACGTCCGTCTAACTGCAACATATAAGCATAATGCATTATTCTAGAACTATATAATATATACAAGAAAAAAATAACATTCCATTTACCACATTCGTCACGTCCGACTATTAGAAACCCTGCACAATTTAGAAGCCCCCCTTCCAAACACGATAGCTTTTTGGAGACAAAATTGACTAGTACTATTCGGTGAAATCCGTTATATTGTACGAATTGGTGCAGTCTTAAGGTTGCACAGCCCTAAAAGGGCTGCTCAAATCGGTGAGCGGGCATGGATGGAATTCGTGCAGATAACGATATATACCTCGGTAACACCGAAAAGGATAACAGTATATTTGATATAATACCGTAAGAGATGTGGGGCATGATGTAGGTAATGATACTGAGAGCAAAATAATTTTCCATGATATATATATATATATGTATTGAGCTGTAGGCGTTGTAGTTTTAGCTGCGTTTCGAGGTGCGGGAGCTGCAACCCCCTGCCTGCCGCGGCAAATACAGTAGTTCCGCGGGGGTGAGTTGAACAAACTCTGAGTCTGCATCCGATTTTCGTGTGAGCACAAACTTATTTAGCATCCGCTGCCACCGGTGTACGCAAGGTGCAGTAACCGTGGTGTGTGGAGTGAAATGCCACAGTACGGATAGAATCATCGTGTGCACCAGTAGAAGTCTTCCTCGTAAGGTCCTCGCTCTCCGCCCCCATACGCTGAACCCCCGATAGAACTTGTTGTTTAGCTCGGCTACGATAGTGTCGCGGGACACATTTCGCCCGAATGGGATGCCCAAATACTTGATCGAATCGTCAGCGTAAAGGCACCTTACTTCAGGGAATATTGGGCACGGCATATTCTTGTTCAGTGGTAGCAACGCAGTTTTTCTCAAATTAAGGCGTGCTCCCGAACCTTGGCAATAGGATTTCACCTGCTCGAGCTGCTGGCGTATGCAGTTCGTGTTCTTAGCCACTAATGTAGAGTCGTCAGCAAAATACAGACCTGTGACGGTTGTATGTTGATTCACTAAAACGCCTAGGTCAGACCGTCGGCGAATTAGGTTCCCGAGTGGTTCAATACACAGTAAGAAAATCAGAGACGACAGTGGGTCCCCCTGCTTAACACCCGCGTAACTTGAAGTGGCTGTAGTAGGAATCCGTTCAATAATATTAGTGCGAGAGGTTTGTTGTACAGAAGACGAATCCACGAGATATACCGGTCTCCAAATCCGAGGACTGACAAAATAAGGAAGAGATACTCCCAAATCATGCCTTTTCAAAGTCTAGAAACAGCGCCAACGCTTCGGAGTTTGACCTTGTAGCGTGATGCTGAAGATCCTCCAGTAGTCGAACGTGGGGGTGCAGTGATCGGCCATTAACGAATCCTTTTTGGTCAGGGTGTATAATGGGCGGTAAGACGTCTTGGAGGCGGTAGGTCAGCACTTTCGACAGAATTTTTACGTCTACTTGCATAAGAGTGATTGGACGGTAGTTGCCTGGCTCACTGCGATCACCTTTCTTGAAGAGGAGAGTGACGCATGACTTCCTCTGGGACGGCAACAAAATTCCACGGTCTAGTTGGTATTGAAATACACGGCTCAGAATTTGCCCGAATATATCTGGAGCTGTCTGGTAGAATGCCAGAGTTAACCCATCTAGCCCAGGAGCGGAATTGCTTCTCATGTGCTTGATGGCTGCTGTCATTTCGTCGGCTGTGATCGGGCTGTCTAGCTTTTCGGCTTCTTCCCGGGACATCTTTAATTGAATCGAATCAAGTAGGATCGCTCGTTTTACTTCGTCAATCACTGTGTTGTCGGAAGGGCTAGTAGGATCTCTAAAGATTGTTCCCCAATGGGAGCGAAACGCGGTTCTTACGTCTTCGGGATCAGTGGAGACTTCGCCAGATTCAAGTTTCACTGAAGTAACTTGCACAGGTCTCAGTAAGGACGAAGGAGGGCGGAAGAAAGCTGACTTTGACGTTTCCATGTTTCCTGCGTGAAAATCGAAGACTGAGTCTTGTTGGAGTCGATGAACGTGTTCTTTGCGTTCAGCGTAGGCTTCTTTTGCTTCCTGATATTCCCTCTGAGTATTTGGCGACGGGTTGTCTACGTAATTCTCCATAGTCCGTTCGAACAGGTTTTCCACAGCACGGAGGCCCTGGTCTTCTTGAATTTTCATTACGGCTTGGAGGGATTTTAGTTGGCTTCCCATTCGTTTCCATCCTTCCCATACTAGGCCAGGATTGTCGGCATCTAGAATGTCTGAAAGGAGAAGTTGAGCCTCGTTTCGGATTGCTTCTCTTACGAGAGGACAATCCAACATTTTTGTAGGAAGACGCCAATATCCTTTACCTCGCGGTTGGCGAGAATGGTTTAAGGTCACACTATGGGCTAAGTGATCTCCAGAGTGAGGAACTTGAAAATATCGGGATGATCCATAGTAGCGCGTCATAGATGAGTCGGAGATGAAACAATAATCGAGTCTGTTTTTCCTTGGTGGTGGTCCGGTAAATACGTGACGTTGGGGGTGGTGAACTCTCCAGCAGTCAGACACACCGAGGCATGCTAGCCATTCCACTGCGCTTTGCCTCGACCGGTTGTGCCTCACGGATACGGCGCACGAGTCAAGTAGAGGATCGAACGTCACATTGAGGTCTCCCAGAACCCAGTGCACGTCTTCGCTATTTATTTCTCTTGCCAGTAGGGATTCGTAGAAATGAAAGGTCTCTTGTGGATCTACCGGCGCGTACACGTTGTGAATATAGAGATTTTTATTCTGAACCCGTACTCGTATTACCAGATATCGTCCCGAGATTGTCCAATCTTCCATTTCTTCAGCAGATTCAAATCCAAGAAAGTCATTGTGGAGCACCGTAGCTACTCCACCGCTTCGAGAGAACTGTGTACTGCTTTCGGCAGCATTAAGGTCAGATACAAAAAACATTTACAGTCGAAAGTGGCTTGCAGCAGAAACTTGAACTTATCGGCATGGTGGACATCACGAAATTTCGTCTCTTGCAGGTAGGTCACATGGTAGTTAGAAATGGTCTTGTCAATAAGTTTGTATCCATTTTTCTTGACGCCGTTGGTATTTACTGTCAAGATGGATACATTTTCCCATAGCGAGCACTTAGCACTCAATGTGCAGCGGGCCAGCTGCCAACAGGAGGTGGCCGTCCCGCACTTGCATTTGGAGCATGGCGGCTTCCTCGGTTAGCCACGACTGTCCGTCTCGCAACTGGGTGAGTGTGTGCATGATTGAGTGCTCCCACCCAGAAGTTAACATGCGCGTGAGGATCGTTTCACCACACTCCGTTCGGAAAGTGCAATGAGCACATTCGGGTGTAGAAGCCTTCCCTCTGAGGTCTGGATCCACGGGACGTGGGTCTTTGCCAACGTTTGAATCCAGTAGTCGTTGTTAAAAATGCCAGGTGCTGCGGCAATCAGCATCAGTTCGAACAGGGCGAGCGCCAAGGACGTATCGTACAACTTTGCCTCGTCGCTCATGCTCACAAGCATCTCCGCCGTGCGTTTAAATAGTGCTGGGCGGGATGAGGGAGCTGCAAAGCCCGTGAGCTTTTTCCACTTTGTGGGGAATTTGTTGCCATTGGCTACAGAAGAGTGTACGCAGCGAAACCACAGGTGGACGCGCGCTAACTCTTCCACCAACTCAGACTTCTGACGCATCCATCGCGAGACCTTGATCAGGAACGCTAGGCGGTTCTTGTTTATTTCTTTCATGATAGCCTCGGAGTTGATGTCCGTGGAAAGCGTCTCTTTTTGTTCTTCCTGGAAGAGCTGCTTGGACTTGGAGATACTTTCTGCCATCACCGGGATCCATTCACGGACAGTGACGGGATTGGTAGACAATTGCACTTTGCTTTTCTTTTTTTCATGGTAGTACCCGTACTCGTTGCTGTTGACACTCTCGTCCACTGGGCTGATGCGGGTTACTACTATTTGGTACCCTGAATCCCCGTTTTCATCAGGGTTTGTCTCGAGGCATTCCAGCTCGGGGTCTAGACCCTCGAGATGACTCCAGAAGTTCGGAGAGTTCCATGACTGCGAAGATGCAGTAGGTGGTGGGCCACTTCGTCGACTTTGGAGGCACTTTGGCGGATGCGCAAACGCGTCACTTGGGAAGTCGACTGTAGGTGTAGTAGGCTGTGACACATCGGAATCCATGTTCACATCCAGGGATAGGTCGAGCGGGTTGCCGTCGTGCTCGCTGGCGTGTTCGACGGGGCTCAAGTTTGGATCTCCTGTTTCAACACTACGCATCACTTCATCAGTGACGAGTGGAGTCGGTGCAGCGGGCGCTGCGACGTCTCGATCCCGGCCTCGCTTCTCTCCCGTTTGTTTGGGTGCCTTGCTGCGTTGTTTTGCAGCATTTAGCGCATTGAAGGGTCGTTGGTTTCCCAAGTTACTCGGAGGCGGCAAATTGAGAAGTTATATAGCCGTACTTAGTAGACCATGATGATGATTTTCTTCATGTCAGTGATGCTATTTTCGTAACCCATGTAACATAATCTTGAGAATGCACGAAAGTGACGGCCCTATGGTAACAGTGCATCACGTTTGCACGGACGGAACAGTATTATGGCTGAGATATCAGCATTTCGTCACTTCCTATCCCAATATTATATGTTTAGTGATATACTACATGTAGTAGTCAAGAAGTTTTAATGTATGGATCCTGACCTTTATTGGTCGCCCAACGGGCACGAACATTCAAGATTTCGCCGGATGGGACTGAAAGCTGTGGGTGCCAAGCTCGTAGATGCAGGAACGCATGGTCGCCTGCAGATGCCAGGGCTGGCGTTCCTGAGAATCCCCGAGGACGACGACTCCATCGCAATTCTGGTCCGCACGCTGTTCCAGACGTGGCGGGCATGTCTGCCTCCCGATGCTACAACGGATTGCTGGAAGGTCTTTGCAGGTCGAGAAGCGTACAGCGACGACAACCCGCCGCTCAGACTGTCGGATCGAGTGGGGGGTATGGGGGCAAGTGACGACGACCTGCTCTTCATCGAAGTGCCGACAGACCACATCGTGTCGTTGCTGCTAAAGGGGGAGCAAGTCAAGCATCTGCTGGAGTCGCTCAAGTGGAAGGAGCCGGAGCGACTTTGCCGTTCGACTAGGAGAAATTGGCCGTATCAAGGAGCGTCTGAGATCGCGAAGAAGCTCAAGCGTTCTCTGGTCAACAACTATAAGGCCTGGAAAGAGAACAACCACGACGGACACTGCCGAGCGTTGAACGTCATCCTGAGCGGGGCTGGGACGGGCAAGTCGAGAATGTTGGACAACATGAAAAGTTTGTTGTGTGGGGCTGCTAAACTGTCGAAAGACGAAGATTTGATGGCGAGAATGGAGAGTGCGTACGTGTTTCGAATCACGTTCGCAGATGGCCCTGAACAAGATTCCCAATTAATTGACGACATCTACGGTGATCTGGACATCAGCTACCGAATGATCTATCAGCTCTACAAGCACAAAAGGGAAGTAGCGTGGCCTTTGTTTGTGTCGAAGTTGAAAGGGGTTTACTCCAAAACCGTCTTTTTCATCGAAGAGGTGCTAGTCTTATTGGCCAAGCTGGAGCAAATCGACAAGCTTCAGGACATGACGGTGCTGCTGTGCGTGGATGGCCTCGACAGGCTTCACCACGACGGGATCAAGCAGTCCTCGAAATACCTCCGTGTAATGAACGCGATCATCAGCTTCCTGAACGCTTCGAAAGCATTCGTCGTCTGTGCGTGTGCCTCAAGGCTCGCCAGTCCTTTTCATGAAGTGCAGATGGTCTTCCGACAGCGGTGCACGTATTTGGTTCCTCCAACGCTAAACGGCGACGAAATCCTGTCGCCACGTACCCGGATAGAGCAGATTTTGGTGGAAGATATGGGTGGTCACGGTCGGGCGCTCGAAGCGTTGGACGCTGCGTTACGTAGTTTCCGAGACGAAGGTACAGCGACGCCCAGCCCAATGGACATTATCAAACGCGTGTGTGAAAGGCTGCAAGTCGAGTATGCTGACCTGTTTAAGTCGCCCTTACTGACCAGCCGCACCATTTGCCAAGAAGTGGTCGCTGCGATTCTTTATCGACAACAATTGATTTTTTCCGAGTCTATTGGCGAAAAGGGCATGACAGTGGACGAGCTTCTCGGCGTTGGCTTCTTCCGTTTGAGTCGAGAAACCCATGGCCACTTGTCATGCGCGTTCATTCTCCTTGAGCTCTTGATGTCGAAGCTTGGGAAGACCGGCGATATGATGGAATACCTCACACGTTCGGTGCTCGGGTGGCAGGATTTCACGCACTTCGTCGCCTCGTACCGTGTCAAAAAATCCACGGTATTTAATGCTGGTCCGATTTCGCTGGCTGCATTCCACGCTGGCGCTCGATTTGGACCCATCGACGGCATTTGCGTCAAGGAAGCACGGTCAAGAAAGGTGGAAGAGGCCAAGTATCGCTTGGTCACAAAGTCGGATCGTAGCGAGGTAAACAAAACTTTCTCCAATCGCGACGGCATGAAGTGTAAGACAGACACGGAGACGATCGTCATAAACAGACCCGGTGCACCTGCAGGCGGCGATATTTTCATGCAAACTCAGTTGACGGAAGGCGAACAGGAAACGCACCGCTACGAGGTGATCCAGTGCAGACTTGCGAACCAGGATATCAGCGAAGTAGTGTTTCATGAAGAGCGAGCAAAAGCTGCGGGCGCCTGGGATGTCTTTCTGCTAATTACGTCGGCGAAATGGACCAGCGAGTTCGCCCTCCCATTGCGGTGTGGCATCGTTTCGCACGACGAGTTCTGTGAATACTTTGGACCGTATGCCACCCGTGTGTATAGGAGCCTCGATCCTCTTAACATCAATACCGCGTCTCGTCAAGACCTTAGTTTGGTGGAAGGACTAGACAGCGCTGCTGTTGAAACAATTGTCGCGAAAAGACCATTTTCCAGTATTGACCAGGCCGTAAGCATTGTCACGATGGGCAAGAAGAGCAAAGTTTCAGCTGTGCTGCGATCGCTCTGCTGTGACTGACCGATCTGGAATGAGGGGCTTCTACACGATAGACAAATGGTAGTATCATCAATAAACTGATGGATTATCTCAGATTATTATAATACGTGACTCTAGACGTGGGCTTGGCCGCCTTGGACTGGCACATCCGCTCTCCACGCTTGTTGCCCTGGATCCGCTGCATCCGCAGCAGATCCATACGCGTGGACAATGTGATCGAGGACTTGCCGTCCGTGCTGTCTTGCCGTGTCACTGCTCGGCAGCATGTTCATCATCCCCGCGCAGAACTCCCCCATCACGGGCAGACCGTACTAAATGAGCTGTGTACGCTGATCTTCATCCCGTCTTACTTTGACTACGTGCGCGTGCGCAACCTGTTCAACGACACCATGAAGAAGAAGTTGATCCGCAGCGTGCAGTGCTGCGAGTACACGACGAGCAAGCAGGTGTCTCAACCGCGAATGTTCTTCTTCCACGGCCACTGCCACGGAGCGCTTCCACTTCCAGAGATATTGCGCGCGCATGACTTTAAAGTACTCGTGCGAACACTGCGGCGTTCAATTTCGCCGCCAAAAAGACATCCGAGGAGCGCTACAAGGAACCGCAAGCGTATATAGCATGGCTATACTAGGTAGGTTTTGCATAGGTGAAGGAGCTCTAGTGAGAGCCCCCAACCGGGGGAGAGTGTAGGTATTGTAGAACTGTGGCAACGCTGAGGCCTGGCTACAATGGATAACGACGTTCATTGTAGTCCCTCAGCCGTACAATTCGCTATCAAAGTCATGGACACCACGAACCGGGCTAGTTGCATCAGGTAGAAGCCTTCCTAACCCCGGATTTTATGGATTTGGATCGAAGCCCACACACCAGTCACTGCATTCGTTGCTGATGCAGCTTTATCATGCACCTTAGTGCGCTTGGAACCACATACACATACTGTCATACCGACAACCTAGCATACACCTAATGACACGAGTTAACCGCTTTTGACAAAACGTTTCAAATTCATACACCTTTTGACGTTTTCCCGGTTCTCCTTCTTTGAGTCAAAGACTTCGACAATGCCCTAGGCCAACAAATCGTGGTGTTGCTCTGAGAAAGAAGAAACCCGGTGTAACAGCTGCGGCGTTCCACACCATAGACTGCTCTGAGAGCAGGCCAGGAAGCAATCATTGTCGGATCGCACGAGTTCGCTACACTTGGGTAGCGAACAGCGACAGACAGTCCCAGCAGTAGATGCAGCTAGGTAGGAGCGCCTCTTCGGCAATCCTGCAGCTAAGACCCGCCTCTCCGCACCCTGACCTGCTAACCCCATGGCCCCCACGCAGTGTAAGTTTTATAATGGTAAAAAGATGTTCTAGTAACGGTTAGTGCGCCCTTCGCTTTGGAAAGAAGAAGCGACGCTCTCGATATTGTAGCATTGTCTCAAATAGCAAGTTCTCAGAGATTCCTCACGTGTTTTTCCAATCGGTGACGATAGAATGGTTTCCAATAGAAACTGCGAGGTTGCGAAACTTGCAAAGGGCTTGACAGAAGTGTCAATGTACTGAATTACTCAATTAATGGGAAAGTAGCGCCTCGTCTTGTACCGTCGGCTCAGTTTTCAAGCAGAGCGCGGTCGTTGAGGGGGGTCGGCGATACAATACTGTATCGCCGAATATCGACGATATTCTTGTGTTCGTACTTGTACATGTAGTGAAGAGTTTGTCTTGGTCGCGGAGCGTCGCGTCACGTAGACCGCTGCCTGGGATGGTCGTTTAGGGAGTTCTAATGTCCGTACTGCCCCATCGATAGGGCAAGGTACTGTCGCCCATACCGTATGCCGTCATGATTGCATCGTGCTACAGCAATAACTTATCTAAAGTTCATTATGAGCCTTTCACTCCTGCTATAATACTATTTAGCAACTTGCACTTGCATGCTGCTTCCCGCTAGAATGCCTGGTCCCTCCATTTTTCACTAAACTCAGTGCCCATCATCCAGCAAGCGCAAATCTCGTCTGCATAATTGTACTAGCTCTGCGAGGTACATTCGACATCGCTATTCTAGATTTGCCGGGGAGATCTGTATGTATTTCAAACGGTTCTCGCAATTCGAGAACGCCGTGATGCGCCGTTTCTCCCTTCACCAGACAGTGAGGATACGGATGCATACAGTACTGTAACCTTTATCTATTTATCGATTTACACCTATATTGCGTAGTAAAGCTTGATACATAACATGTTGTGAATCACTTTGTGGCATTTTTTTGTGCAATAACTTATGCAAGAATAGAGGTACACATCCGCAACCGCGCTTTGTTTGCTCTTGGTTTGCAACGGCTCTGAGCAAAGCCTGTCGGTTCAACAAACACTGGATAGCAAGATCCGATATGAGGCTTGGACTCTACTGTACAGTGCATGCAGACTAGGTATCAAACAGTAGCGGAGCCCACTCTTGTGCCGGACGAACCTCGAGAGCATCTCATTCCACAACTTGCTTCACCACAGCCCTGCAAATAACCCCGCCAGGACTTCCGTCCAAAACCTCAAGAACCGACAACCACTATGCGTCTCACTTTCATCTTCGCGGCGGTCATCGCGGCCTCTCTCCATGCCAGCGGCGCTGCCCTCCCTTCGGCCACGGCATCCAAGATCGCTGAGGTCGAGAACGATGCCTTCCCTGCTACCGCTGATTCCGCTCATGCCGATGGCGGGGGAATGCTTCGCCGTATCGAGAAGAACGACAAGATCAATGAAGAGCGAATTGACTTCTTGAAGTTTTGGAAGGCGCTCACTTCGAAAAAAATCAAGAAGGCTGAGAACATGACCCCAGAGGAGCTGACCAAGTGGCTTGCTAAGGAAGCAAAGAAGATGGGCATGTGAGGAAGGATACAACACCTTTGAAAGGGTAGGTGAATGAATGGGTGATATCGTGGTCAACAGCGGATAAATGGTCACTGGCGTAGTGCGCCTTAGGCTGTTTGTAGTGGGCACGAATGAAGCAACGGCGATGTGAAAGTAAATGAATAATATCCAACGCATAGTGCTGAGTTCTTGTCCTGAGGCAACAATGTTGCCGGCAACTTGCCGCAACATAGCCCTTCAACACGTCTTCAATCGATGACTGCTGTCACCGACCTTCCGTCACAACTTCATCACAGACGCCACACCCAACCCTATACGAACACAATTATCCCGGACATCCTGGTTTTACGGACCACTGCGTTTGATCTCAGTTTAAAACGCGTGTCTACGTTCGTAACGCGAGGTCTCGGACCGGTATAGAAATGTGAGGTCGTCCGTGCGGCTCCTTGTCTTTGTTTCCTTCCGTTGGTACTCCCGGCCGAGCGCCCCTCAGTGAAGAAAAGAAGCTCCAGGTGCGAAGTTCGTTCCCTCCCTGTCCTCTAAGATGCTCGCCCGCCAGACCGCTCGCCTCGCCGCCGGCGCCCAGCGCCGCGCCTACTCCGGCCTCGTGAACAAGGAGAGCCACATCGCCGCCGACCAGAAGCTGTTCGCCACGGTCAAGCGCCCCACCTACATCAAGCGCGAGTCGGACGGCCCCCTGCTCACCGCCATGTTCCTTGGCCTGGGCTTCGGCTTCGTGCAGAGCTTCCGCGGCGAGTTCTGCATGGCCACCGGCTCCGGCAAGAAGGACTAAGCGGTCTTTCGGTTTCGACCAGGGAAGCAGGCGACGGAGTTAGCCTCTTGCGGACCTCCAGTGAGTTTTCATCCCCTCGCAGAGACCTCGCAGCAGGCGGATCAAGCTTCGTTGACGACGTCAGACGCTGCTCTTTAGACGCTTGACGCCGACTTCCTTCCTGCCTTCCTGCAGTCAACGCGACGCTAAATTCCACTCGTCTGAATTGAAGAAAGTTTGTCCATTGCGTTGGCTCTTCACCTGTTTTCCCCTACGATTCCGTCGCTGCATCTTCATTGCAGCTCGCAGCGCTGTGGAAAACTAGCTGCCATAGGCTCCTCTTCATCAAGACACCGACGTCGAGCATCAGCCAGCCCAGCGATTTCCACCACCACACGTACAATTTAGTGTTCGGTACCCAAGTCCGCGTGGTCCACGTCACTGACCAACACTCTTGGATTCCGCACTCGGTGGTCATCTCACACACTCAATCACTTATCCGCATCCTGCCCATGTCGTCGTCTTCCGCGCCGCTGCCCGACCGCGTGAGCTACGTGGAGGCGCACCGCCTCTTCATGGCGCTGGAGAACCCGAGCGCAGCCGTGTCGGAGCCCCACTCGCAGGCCTTCCAGGACGAGCTGACGCGCGCTCTGCGCTACATGAAGCAGTGCGTGGCGCAGCGGCAGCTGGACGGCGTGCTGTCGGCCAACGAGCGCTTCTTCGAGCTGCAGAACACGCAGCTGTACGCCTTCTGCCTCGAGTACTACCTGGGCATGCTCACGCCCAAGCAGAGCTTCTTCCAGCAGACGCAGGAGCAACGTAAGGAGCCGGAAGGGCAACGCAAGGGCCCCTCGGACCACACGCGCAACGTCGTGTACCGCATCAAGTTCCTGCGCGAGGCCGACGTGTTCCTCACCGAGTTCCTGGACCGCGCCGAGCGCGGCGGCATCCTGACGGAGCAGAAGCGCCGCGAGCAGTACGAGCGCGTGGAGAGCAAGCAGTTCTCGCTCTCGAGGGACGAGAAGGTGCAGCGCTTCCAGATGCAGCGCGAGATGAAGAAGAAGCTGCACGAGGTGCAGAAGCGCCGCGAGGAGCGCGGCGACACTCACGTGGGTGGCGCCAAGAACGAGGACGCGGACGAGCTGGACGAGGACGAGGACGACATGGAGGACCTCGAGCGCGAGCAGCTCATGACCTTCATCCAGCTGTCCGTGCTCAAGTGCATGGAGGAGCAGGCCTCCATTAACCAGGAGAAGGACATGCTGGAGACCATGCTCAAGATGAACGCGGCCAGCGAGAAGCAGGACCTCTTCTCCGAGGCGCACCGGCCGCCCCCACCGCCCCAGGGACAGGGAATTGTACGGACGGACGGATCTGCAGAGGTTTGGTTCAATTTGGATGTGGAAGTTTGACTGGTGTTTGTTCGTGTGTATGCAGGAGGTGACGCGGATCAACCCGCAGATGGAGATGCGGCGCGAGACGATCCGCTCGGGTGTGTTCAAACCTGGCCACCGGCTGCCGACCATGACGCTGGAGGAGTACGCGGACCGGGAGCTTGCAGACGCCCAGGAGCGTCAGAAGAGAGAGCAGTACGCTGTGTTTGCCTTTTCCCTTACTTCGGGTAGGATTGATTTTAACGGAGTGTCGTGTAATTTGCCACTATAGGGAGGCGCCGCAGGGACCGCGTCGGTACGAGCAGCTGGTGGAGGACGGCGACGAGGACGACGCAGCATTAGTGGAGGAAGCAACCTACAAGGACCGCGCTTGGGACGACTGGAAGGATGCGAACGAGAAGGGCATCGGCAACAAGAAGGGATCGCAATTTTAGAATAGGCACGGGCGATCGGTCAATGCAAATCTTGATTTCCAGACGCTAACTCATCGAAGTGTTTCATTAGTTGTTGTGATGCCAGTCTTATTGTAAGTACAGTATGTGTAGGCATCGAGAGCACGTGAAAATGCCTCAAGTTGCGGTGTTCAATAATCAAGTCTTCAATCCACGAGACGACTTGATTATTGAACACCGCAACTTGAGGCATTTTCACGGGAATTTCTGTAGAATCCGATCTGATTCGCAATTGGCTGGTCGAATCCGGTCATTTCCGAAAGAACCGCAAGATGGCGAAGCGCGTCTGGTTCGAGTTGGTAGACGCAGCCGACCCCCACGGTTCGCTAACTACAGAATCCTCGCTCCGCTTAACAAGCGACATCAGCATTATCGACGACCTTCGCGCCATGATCCACTCGCAGTATCATCACTCCGAAGGTCTATTGGAGAAGTGTGGCCCAGGAGAAATACGAGTTTTTCCCGACCGCGACGCGTATTTGACTAGCAAGGATCCTCTAAACGCGCGAGATTCGGTGGAAAAGCTGAATTCCGACAAGGTGCTGATTGTGGAGAGGCCGCAGCGACAGAAAAGGTTGAAAGTGGAGGACCTACAAGTGCCTGGCGAAAAGCGACGGAGGACTGAAGGTAGTGAAATCTTCGCGTTGGATGATCTGGCCACGCTCACCGCACTTGGGCAGAAGTTGAATCGTGAGACGGACTTGGTGGCGGGGGAAATATTGGCAGTGCCGAAGTCAGTCTTTGACACGGTCTTCTCGAATGGCTTGTACATCCGAGAAGAATATTGGGCGGTCTATAAGGTGATCCAGGAGGAGATGAAGTCAAAAGCGTTGCTCTCCAGGATTCTAGTGATCGGCAGCCCTGGGATTGGGGAATCGGTCTTCGGGATATTTTTGCTGCTCGTGCTCATGACGGAGAGGAAGGATGTTGCCTATCGCCCTCTTGGTCAAGAACGGTGTGAACGACCACTATGAGACGTCGAGGTTGCCACTTGCTGGTAAGAAGCACGAAGGTCTATTTGACGGCAATGAGTCCGGCGATGCGTTGACCTTGAGTGACTTTCGCCACACGTTCGTCTTCGCTAGCCCACGTGACAAGAATTTCAACCAGTTTGTGAAGGATCTGTGCATCAAAGTGTACATGAATCCTTGGACCAAAGACGAGTGCCAGACTCTTGCCAATGCAATTTGGAAAACGCGAGGTTCTACAGATTCATCACTGCAGAATGAAGACGAGTGGTTCCGCTGATTCAACCTCGTTGGAGGCAAGCCTAGACCTTTATTTTCAACTTTCGACGAGTATGACGACTTGGTCAAGTGTGTGGAGGGTGCCATCCCTCAAAACGATGACCCAGGTTCGGCAGCTCCAGCTACAAATATTCGACAAATCGATGAAGCACATTCTGTTCCTGATGTATCGAGACGAGACTAAGTCCAGTCGTTCGTACCTGACTTTTGCATCGTTGACAGTGGAGAGGATGATCCGTGCTCATTACAACGTTGAGTCAGCCGAAAGAATTATCTCGTTGCTGGAGGCCCCAGCGTCGAGCTTGCAGTCCCGGCGAGGAAACGAACTGCATTCGCGTGTTCATTAGAAATTTGTCATTCCCGTACGTGTAAAACTGTGTCGAGCTTCATGGTTCCATTGAAGCTCAATACTGTGATGATGGCAGATACGGTAGCACCCGGAAACATCAAAGTTATGCTGGACAGACCAACGCGCATCCGATCTTCACAATGCTGCCTGCCGGCTTGACAGCATTTACGATCGCTTGGCTATTAAAAGTTTGAGGGTACACTGAGCGGATGCCCAAGCAACGGAGATCGACGGTTTTCATTCCTGTCTCGAGTCGAGACTGGGGATGTCAACGTTGGGACCTTTGGGTCCCTCCAACTCGCTCCAACTCGAACGTTGCAAGTTGGAGTTCGAGTATGGTGCAACTCCGCCCAACTCTTCGAAATCTTTCTCGATACTCAAAGCAGTATATTTTTCCCTCCAAGCTTGTTGGATTTTCCCGCTGCTTTGTTCCAAAAAAATGGAATTTCCATACTACCAGAAGCATAAGGTCTAGTAATTCAAACAAGACAAAATGGACCAGTGCGGGCGGAGCAGAGGTCGATGAGGCGGTCGCGGGCCATAGCGCAACAAGGCCCCAAGCGCATACTCGGACAAGACTCACGGACACCATGGCCATCTCTGAGGTGCCCTCGTCGCAAAGCGATACATCCCGTCGTCTTTTTCCGGCCAAGAATAAAAAGAAGAGGAAGAAAGCTAAGGGAACCAAGCGGCCACCAGTTCAGCTTCGATTCATGCTATCGCCACTGCCGAAATTCTTCGGCTAGGGACCAGGGCACAGCATCCAAGGGGCCTCGCGGTGAGGCGTCTCCAACGACAGCACCTGTGGAGACGGTTATCGAGAGTGAGGAGGAGGAGGAGACTGCTGAACCTGAGCTACAAACCTGTCCGGTGCCATCAAAGCTCTACGACATCTCCGGAGCCCACAACCCCTACTGGTACAAGTTCATCAAGTTGGTGCCACTCCCCGAGTTCGAGCATCTGCACAAGCCGGGTAATAAACATGCTCGTGCCGCCTACTGTACGAAGTGCAGCGCTGAGGTCCACTTTGAAAAGGGACGAAGCCACGTTAAAATGCATCTGCAGGTTCATCACCCTGCATACCTTCGAGACTGTGAGGAGAAGAAAAAAACCGCCAAAGACGCCAAGGTTACCATTGCCAGTGGCGCCCCTCACTCGACACCTTCGAAAAAAAAGCGGGTTGTGGCCGTGACTCCAGAACAACAGCGGCGGGCGAACCAGTATCTCGCGTTATGGATCGCAAAAAATATGCGGCCACTCGTGATAGTTGAGGACGAAGGACTCGCATTTTACGTCAGATACATCACTGAAACACTGGGTGGGATCTCGTTGAAAGTTCCTGGGCGAACTCAAGTTCGCGTGGACATCGTGCAGTTAGCGGTCGAGCTCCGTGCCGAGTTGAAGGGAATGATCGAGGAAGGCTGCCGCTATTACGCGGTGACAACGGATATTTGGACGAGTCTGACTACGGAGGGCTACGTGTCGCTGACCCTTCACTATCTCGACCTAAAGTTTCGACCCTGTAATTGGACTCTCGAGATTGAGCGATTTCCAGGCCTTCATAGCGGTGAGGCTATTGCGATAGGATTGACCAAGCTCTTTAAACGCTGGGGACTAGATCCATCTTTCTGCATAAAGCTAGTTCGAGACGGTGCTTCAAACGGGGTGTTGGCTGGCAATCTCATGGGCGTTCCGCACATGTCGTGCATCGCGCATTCACTGCATCTTGTCGGAGGTGCGCTCATCAAGCGTACACGAAAGGCTTCAGGTGTAGCAAACAGTTCAGGGCTGGTGACGGAGCGTGCACCGGAATCTCCACAACGCATGGGTGGAGCTGCAGCAGCTCTAGCAGCAACAACATCTCCAGGCGTTGCAGTAGTTCCTGCCGTTCTAGTCCTTCCAGCACCACCCGGAGTTACAGGGGGACCTGTCGGTCCAGTCCTTCCAGCGCCTCCTGCAATTGCGGAGCAAGTGGCAGTGCCCTGCGAGGACGATACGAAGCGTGCTGATACGGAAGCTGAGCCGTGGGAACAAGACCGGTCAATTCAAGAGTTGGCTGATTTTCTACGTCAGTGGCACGTTATGGAACAGCTCTACGCGCTAGACGAAGTCCGGGATCTCGTGCAGCGATTTCGAAGTCTGGCAACTTACTTCCACTCTTCGCAAAAAGCAACCTCCTGCCTCAATGCAATACAGAAGCGTCTAATTGCTGAATATCGGACAGGCGAAGATGAATTGCACGCCCGAGCAAGGCAGCCGTTAAAAGTGGTGACAGACTGCCCTACGCGTTGGAATAGTGCGAGGGATATGTTGGCGCGAATGATCGAGCTAAAGCAGCCACTGAAAGTTTTTTTTCGTCATCTCAAGACGGCGAAGGGGAAGAAGGAGTTTCAGCGGATGCCGAAGCTCTTCCGGCCAGACGCCAAGGACTGGTTCACGATTAAGTGCCTGATCGCACTGCTTGACCCCATCGCAGCGACATCCGAGCTGCTAGGTGGGCAGGGCTATCCGACACTTGCACTGGCATTTCCCTGTCTTCGCAAGATTGAGAGGACGCTGAACAGAGATGACTTGTTTGATGAAGAAGCACTACTGGTGGAGGACGCGCCATTCAAGCAGACTGTCCTAGACCTCATGACAACCGTTCGACTTGCTTTCGTGGGCCTTTTTGAAAGGCGTTTTGCTGATCTGCCGATTTGCTTTGGATATCTTATCTGGATCCAAGGTTGACCAATATGGAGGGACTCACCAATGACCAGTGCAAGGAAGCTACCACAGGCCTCATCGATGCTGCAATTGCACTGGCAAAACAGGAGAATTTGAATCAGTCCCAGTCCCCACAACCCGATAAAGACAGCAACGCTTCTCAGGGCTCTTCGATTCCCAAGAAGCAACGGACGACGGCCGTTGAAGGTGTTTTTGGCAAGAGAGTTCGTCGTGACGCTCAAGCTAGTGCAGCTGCTCGCGAAAAGCGTCTCAAAACGCGCTGCAGCGCTGAAGTTTATCGCTATCTCGACGAGGTCGCTGATACAGAGTTTGATGCAGATCCCCTGGAGTGGTGGCGGCTGCATGGTCGCTCGTATCCTTATCTGGCTCCACTGGCAAGACAATGGCTGGCATGTGTCGCTACCTCGGCGCCGTCGGAGCGAGCGTTTTCATCTGCAGGCAACATTGTAAATTGTAAGCGGACCAAGCTGGACCCTTCACTTGTCCGGGATTCACTTTTCATCCACGATAACTTCGAGTTTCCAGAGTGGGAGACGGACGAAAAAGCAACGAGCGACCCGAGTCACGAACAAGTCAACCAAAGCAAGTAATTCACCAATACATTTAATGCTGTCAGCAATTCCTCGATTCATTTTTCCTAGATGGCATTCCTTACGCTACATTAGCACCAGTTGGGCCAGCAGTCCATCACTAGCGACTTCGCCATCAGCAAAGATCACGCCCCCCGGCAACGAGTAATAGTCCATAGAGTACAACTTCCTCTCCTTTGACAACTTCGCTGACTGCTGCCATCACCGAATTCGCCCCAGGCAACGCCGTCTATGCCGACCACCAGCCGCTGTCTCCGTCGACTAGCACCACGATCTTGAGGCCGAGCACGTAGCTTAGCGCCATGAAGGTCACACCCTTAACAGTGCCGTACGTCGACGACAAGGCGTGCACGACCTGGGTCTTGGTGTAGTCGGCCACGGTGCCGTACATGGCCGACGTGGCCGAGACCACCTTCTCGGTCATGTAGTCCTTGACGTTGATGGCCGTGTGCGCGGTGGCGTATACGCAGTCCAGCGGCTTCCCTGTAGAGCCCGTGCTTCCCTGTAGAGCCCGTGATCAGCTCTCCGTCAAGCAGGCCCAGCACGCAGACACCGTTCTTGTGGTTGCGCAGCAAGGCGAAGCGCTGGTCCTGTGCATCAAGCCGAATGAACTTGTCCATGCTGTCCGTGGTCGCCCAGCGCCACCCTGCCGTGATCCAGTGCTCGTGATCGAAGATGGCCGCGCACTCCAAGCCCACGAAGCCACCGATGGCGGGGACGCACAGCCCCACACGCGCCACGAAGGCCATGACACCGGTCACGAGGAAGTTGTTGGAACCTAGAGGCGGATTACACAGAGCAATGTGTGGGGGGGCGCAGCGTCTTGTCAACGCCGCTGCAGCAGCGTCCGCTGGACCAGCATGTAGGGCGACTACGGCGTGCCTTGTCAGCCCTTGAGTCTGTAGATACAAACAAGTGCACTCAAGTTATTAGTGTTCTCTTGGATATGAGCGCACTTGTACCGACCATGAGACGGCTTTGATAATGGCGAGTCCTCTGTGGACCACAACTGTTTTAACAAGTTAGAAGGGGATAAAGAAGAGTTTGGAGGTAGTTCGCGGTAGTTCGCGGTAGTTCGGAGCCAACTCCAACTCCCCGCGCGATGGCTCGCTGAGTTTCGAGTTGGGACCAAACGTTTACTCGAGACCTTGCACACTTCGATCTGCTGCAACTGTCTCCCTCGACCAGTTGGCGCGAAAGAAATTAACCGTCATTCCGACAAGGTAAGTCACGATCATTCCGACAAGGTAAATCACGGAGTTCTCGCGGTTGGGATTCATGCGAATAAAATCGACAGCACGCAGGATAGTAAGCTCGTCGAGAGGCTGCCGACAACTGAGGATTTTAACCGGTGTCACGGTGCTCGAAATGGGGCAGTCATCAACTGTGGCTCACTGCTGTTGTTTCACAGGGGCCAGGCACAGCAAATACAGTCAAGAGCTTGATGTGCAGAAAATGTTTCCTCGGACGGGCAACGCGAAATAAATTGTGCTCGAAGATCCTGTGGTTGAAGTAAGTGCGAGTACGCATGACGACCAAGCGCCTGAAGCCACTCGTTTCGAGCCGGTGATCGTTATACCGGAATCGCTGGCACGGTATCCTACTCCGGTTCGACTGGAACCCGTGATTGCCAATCAGGATTCGTGCGCCCTTACCAGGAGTTCCCCACCCACTGACGAAGTGGCTCTTTCGTCGGCCTTTGACCTGCCTCGCCAACCCCAAGTCGATCATTCTCCAATCTTCCTCCAAGAGCTCAAGCAACTCAAGTTACCCAGTTCCACGGCTGCAATGACGGTGCTGATACGGTCGGACAACGCGTCGCTTGTGACCCCCGCTGCCAAGCCCAAGCCCCGCTACACCACGTTCGCCAGTGTCATGAATGAAATGGACGAGGCCAAGCAGAGACTGCAAGACCCACCGTCTGCAATGCCGGGCTCGGCGTCCTTCCGGTCGAAACTCTTCTTCTCGTACGCGAACCCGATGATGAGCGCCGGCAACACGCGCCAGCTCGACAACGATGATCTGTGGGAGCTTGAGGGCGAGAATCGGTCGGCTGAGGCGTTCCAAGAGTTCGTGGTGCACTACGAACACCACGACAAGTCGATCGTCAAGGCGATGGTGGCCACCTACGGAGGGCGGTTCCTGCTCTGCGGACTAGCGATGCTCTTCTCCACCACCTGCAACGTGTTTGCCCCCGCTGTGCTCCACCACGTCGTCACTGTGTTCGCAGCACCGACGATCGGCATGAACGACTTGAGCGTGTGGCTCGGTGTCCTTTTCGCGTCTCGAGTCGCCAACGCGCTCGTGTCGTCTCAGGTGCGACTCTACCTCGAGCTGATCGCGCTGCGACTGACGGTGACGCTCAAGGCGCTGCTGTTCAGGAAGGCCATGCGTCGGAGCATCCAGAGCAAGGGCGACGCCAACGCTGTGGACATCTCAAATCTCTTTTCCTCGGACGTTGATAGCGTTCTGTGGGCAGCGTATGGCATCAACAATCTGTGGATCACGCCCCTCCAGATCATCGTGGTGGTCTTCATGCTGTACTACGTCATCGGCCTCGCTGCGTTCGCAGGTCTCGCAGTCATCGGTGCCTCCATGTTGGCAAGCTTCTTCATCGCCAAAGCGTCAGGCAGTGCGTTTGTCGGCATCATAATGTGCAAGGACGACCGCATGAAGACGATCAAGAGGTCTTCGGCGCCATTCAGATCGTGAAACTCAACGCATGGGAAGACAAATTCGCTGAAAAGATCCACAAACTGCGCGCTACCGAGCTGTCAAGAAGTTCGTGTACATCAGTGCGGTCAACATTTTCGTGCTGTGGGCATCTCCGTTGGCGGTGTCGGCTGTTTCGTTCGCAGTGTATGCTGTGGTGATGGAGCAAGAGCTGACTGCAGCGAAAGTTTTCACGGCCATCGCGCTCTTCAACATGCTTCGCGACCCGCTTCGAGATTTGCCAACAGTTATTCAATCTTTCATCCAAGCCCAGGTCTCGATCAACCGATTTGGGGACTACCTGTCGTTTGAGGAGTTCGACCCGACCAACGTTACTCGAGATGACCCCCGGCAGCCGCAGAATGTCGTGATAGCCATTGAAAATGGCACCTTCGGCTGGATGAAAAGGACAGCAATTCTAAAAGACGTGAACATTACGGTCCAGAAGGGAGATCTGGTCATTGTGCACGGCACCGTCGGAAGTGGCAAGTCGTCGCTGTGCTCTGCGCTGCTGGGCGAAATGGACAGGCTGGCGGGCAGCGTGTTCGTCTGAGGCCGAGTCGCCTACTACTCGCAGGAGACGTGGATCCAGAACATGACTATCCGCGAGAATATTCTCTTCGGGCTCCCGTACAACACGAAGAAGTACTCGCGCGTGATCTCGGCTTGTGGGTTGCTGCCGGACTTGAAACAATTCCCTGGCGGCGACGCGACTGAGATCGGCCAAAAGGGAGTGAATATTTCAGGAGGCCAGAAGGCTCGCGTTTGCCTCGCTCGAGCGTGCTACTCGGACGCCGACATCTTGTTGCTTGACTCGCCACTGGCTGCTGTAGACGCGATCGTGCAGAGTCAGATCTTCAGTGAGTGCATTTGTAACTTGCTGGCGGACACGACGGTGGTACTGGTGATGCACAGCGCCGACATCATCGCGAGCGAGGCTGCGAACATGAAGGTGTTGGTGGAAGGCGGGAAGATAACAGCTACTCGCCACAATGTTACTTTGTCGCGGCGCTCATACACGCTGTCAGTGTCACCACGTTCTGGAAAGGGCGACGATGCAGCGAACAATCCAGGCGAGGATAAGGATGCTGGTCGATTGATCGACGACGAAGAACGTGAGGAAGGTCGGGTGTCCAAGGAGGTGTTCTTGAACTACTTCAACTCGATTGGTGGTGTCAAGATCTGCGTCTTCCTCTTCGCGGTGCAGACACTGTGGCAGAGTTTCCAGATCGGGAGTGACTTGTGGCTGAGCCACTGGACTGGGCAGAAGAACGGTTCGTACAACAAAGACGAAACAGCTTACAACATGAAAGTGTACGCGTCGTTGGGAGCTGGGGCTGCTATCATGGTGCTCGTTCGCTCCGCTACGGTGGCGATTGTGGGGCTTCGAGGTTCCCGTCTCCTGTTCGACAAGATGACGCTGTCGTTGCTGAGAGCTCCGCTGCGCTTCTTCGACGCGAACCCCATCGGCCGCATCGTGAACCGGTACGGCGACGACATTATGGCGGTGGATTTCCCGATCCCCTTTTTATTTGGAGGTTTCCTCGCCACCTTCTTCTTCACGGTTTGCCAGCTCGCTACTGCAGTATACATGATGAACGTTTTGGGCGCTCTGATCATCCCACTGGTATGGCTGTACGTGAAGATTGCCAACTTTTACCTCGCCCCGTCTCGAGAGATTTCGCGCTTGTGGAAGGTATCATCTTCTCCAGTTCTCAGTCACGTCAACCAGTCAGAAGAAGGTGTCGTCGTCATCCGCGCATTTGGTTATGATGCCGTTCAACTGATGCTCAACGAGAACTTCGCTCTCAACGACTTGAACAGCAGGTGCTGGTTCGCATCAACAGTCTCGCAGCAATGGTTCCAAGTTCGGATGCAGCTGGTGTCGTCTTCGTCGTGGTGCCCCGGTTGGTGTATCTGCACGACTACCTGTCTCCGGGTCTCGTGGGGCTGGCATTCACGTACGCTCTCAGTGTCGACGGTGGTCTCGCCCGGCTTGTGGACGCCTGGTCTTGGTTAGAGATTCAAATGGTGAGCCCCGAGCGCCTCATCGAGTATGGCTCGATCCCCGCCGAAGGAAGCCAGCGGCCGCTTGTCATCCAACCGGATGCCTCCTGGCCTCGCTCGTCCACTATCCAGTTCCAGGACGTCGTCTTCAGCTACAAGGACGACGGCCAACCCGTGCTCAAAGGCGTGTCCTTCGAAGTCCGCAACAGCGAAAAGATCGGTATCGTCGGACGTACTGGTGCAGGCAAGTCCAGCCTCACTACCATGGCGCTCTTCCGTATTAACGAGCTGGTGTCGGGCCGCATCCTCATCGATGACGTGGACATCTCGACCATGCCGCTGCGAACGCTACGATCACATCTTTCCGTCATCCCGCAGTCGCCCGTGCTGTTCAAGGGCTCACTGCGCGCCTACATGGACCCATTCGACGAATTCACGGACGCCGACATCTGGAATGCGCTGGAGAAAGTGGACATGAAGACGCAGGTGTCGGTGCTGGAGGGTCAGTTGGCGTACGAGTTGAGTGAGAACGGCGAAAACTTCAGCGTGGGACTCGGAGTCGGATCGTGGTGATGGATGAGGCCACGGCCTCCATCGACCATGCGACGGAGAAGAAGCTTCAGGAGATGATCAAGCGCGATTTCCAGGACGCGACGGTGTTGACGATCGCCCATCGACTGGGCACCGTGCTGGATTCGGACCGCATTATGGTGCTGAGCGACGGTCGCTTGGTAGAGTTTGACAGTCCTCGCAACTTGGTGAAGGATCGGAGTGGCGTGTTCTACGAGCTGGCCAAGGAGGGAGGCTACCTAGAGGAACTTCTCTAAGGGCATGCATGACCCGACGAACCTTGACGCTGCATGGAGAGGTGAACTTCCTCTTCAATTCCTGCCTTGTATAACGCTGCTGGCTGTGAGGTTCGTCTTCCAGAACAAGCCCAAGGTCTCGGCCTTGACCCACATGGCCGCCACCGTGTCGGTCTTCCTAGACGCGTCGGTAGAGTTACCACTTCATAAGGCTTGCAAGTTCCAGTCACTGCCGCTTCTCGATCGTATCTGGAACAGCACGGTGGATGTCGAGCCAGGCCAAGACGCTGCGTGGTCTGTGCGGAACCTGCTTCGAACCGAGGCACCTCACTACCACCAGTACCAATCCTCAAAGTGTCTCCTTGAAGCTATTAAACTCAAGAATTTGGCTTTAGTGGAATGGTTGTTCGAACATTTCCCAGACACTTACGTTCGCCCGGAAGTGGAGGCAGCCGTTGCAGCTGGAGCTCTCGGCATCCTCAAGTACTTTCGTGCCAATGACGAAGAAGTCAACAGCAATGCTCAGTGGCCTCATGAAGTGGAGTGGGGGGCCTTCGATGCAATCGAGGCGGCTCGAAAGGGCCACTGGGACGTCGTCAAGTGGCTGTTTGAAGAGATCGAGGAGAGTCGAGACGAGGAAGCAACATTTCGGACCATGTATATGGCAGTGGAGAGTGGCGATGTGGAGCTGGTGCGGTGGCAACTCGAGTTGGGGATCCCCCTAACCGACGGGTTTTATTCCGCGGCCGCGAAAGGCGCTATCGACATGCTTCGGACGTACTATACGGATCCTGCGAATGGCACTGGAGTCCTGTTGAAAGCCGCTGAGAATGGGCATCTGGATATTGTTCGTTGGGTCATTAACCGTGATCTGGAGGACCACGGACTTGACAGTGACTCGGATGAAGAGGGTGATGGTGGGTCGAAGTTTCACGTTACCTCTATTGGCGGTGAGGCCGGCCTCTCCATCCACATGGCTGCCGTGAATGGGCATTTAGAGATTGCAAAATATCTTTTAGATTGTGCCGACGCGGCAGTCGGATAAGGAGGTACGCAGACGACGTGTTACGCTATCGAAGCTGTGGTCGTACGTGGGAGACGACCACCTCGCACAGCCAATTTCGAACGAAACGATGCGCCAAGCTTGCGAGAAAGGTCTGCTGGAGGTTGTCAAGTGGCTCTACTCCGAGTTTGGGACCGATCGCCGCATCGATCTTTTCAAAAAAGCGCAATTTGAAGACGATTACTTCGCTCTAGCGATGGATGTAGCAGACACCTCGAGGTTGTGAAGTTCTTGCACGAAATGCACCTGTGCATGCGGCAGCGATTTCAAGGGGTCTCAAGAAAAGAAAGACTAGGTGGGGGAATGCCAAAAGGGATCAGCATCCTCGCATTAAATGCACTGCTTCAGCGATGAATGGAGCTGCCGCGTGCCCTAGATTCCGCGGCTGGGTCGGGCCATATTCAAATGACGAAGTGGCTTCTCGACCACTACAAGATCTCGACTTCAGGAGCCATGGATGACGCTACGAAAAATGGACGCCTGGACGTTCTTAAGTGGCTGCATGAGCACACTCGCTCCACCTGCACGAATGAGGCAATGGACAGCGCTGCACGCGAGGGCCACTTGGAAGTCGTGAAGTGGCTACTCGAACACACTAACGCCCCTTGCACGAGTGATGCGATGGATAGTGTAGCAGCAGGAGGACACCTTGGCATCGTCAAGTGGCTGCACCACACTCGCAGTGAAGGATGCACATCCGACGCTATGGACCAAGCTGCTTGTTGTGGGCATCTCGATGTGATCAAGTGGCTACATCGCAACGACTCTCAAGGTTGTACTGCCCGCGCAATGCTTTGGGCTGCGGCGGCTGGAAACTGGCACGTGATGAAGTGGCTTCACACGCACCGTCCTAAAGATTGCACGTCCCCAGCGATCGATAAGGCTGCGTTAGCACGCGACTTCGAAGCCGTGCTGTTTCTGCATCGAGCTCGGCATGAAAGGCTGTCTGCGGAAGCGGCAAGAAAGACCGAGGAGAGTCGGTTCCCTGGACTTGCGGGGTGGGCGTCGTCCAATTCGGATGAACTTGATGAAGATTCATCGTCCAATTCGGATGAACTCGATGAAGATTGACGACAAGAGTAGTGCTTGGTGCTGGCGCAGGGATTGCCAGCAGAAACTACATGTGCATGCCATTTTTTTCTAGTACAAAAGTTTTTTTTTTCACGACTGGATTTCGTTCTGTTTGGGAGTCTGCGTTTTCTTTCAACTTTAAAGTAAGACGCACTTGCAACACTCAGCAATAATGATGCAGCCGCATTACGTGCTATTGATTATGCATTGCTCCCTCCACTTGGCGATTGCGTTGTTTTGTTCAATTCGAGCGATTATGCAGATCAGGTTCAAAGCCGCTCTCAGCTCACAACTTCATTTTCGGCCAGTCCGTCACTCACCGTTGCGCGAGACTCTGACCCCATGCCGTCTTCCAGCAGCCGGCCGTGCAGTGTCCATGGGTGCAGTAAACGAGCACAGACCCGCCGGCTATGCAAAGCTCACGGAGGTGGCGTACGTTGTCGTGCCCGGGACTGCAAGAAGCTCGCACAAACGCGAGGATTGTGCGTCGCTCATGGAGGCGGGCGCCGATGCTCTTACCAAGGCTGTCCGAAGCTTGGGCAGTACTCGGGCTTCTGCCTCGCTCACGGAGGCGGTCGACGCTGCCGCGTCCCAAGCTGCGAGAAGTTCGTGCAGATGCGAGGCTATTGCAAGAGCCACGCAAAGCAATTCCTGCAAGCGCCCAACGCTTCAAACCGGTTCCCAGCGACAGTCGACTCGCCAGTGTCCAGCCCGCTCAAGTTATCCGTCGATTTCCTCTTGAATCCGGAGGACAAGCTAGTCGAATCGGAAGACTTTTCTGTGGCGCCGTCAGCCGCTCGCACAAACACTAGCTATATAGCTAGCATTAGCGTCTGTTAACTGTGTGAGAGTGTATAGTAAATCTGACTAACATGGTGCGGAGTTAGACAGGTGTTAGTCGTTCATTTCGACGCTCTTTTTAGTTGCCGAAAGCGGGCAGGTACGATAAGTTGTTCTGTACACCCATAGTGATATCCTTACCGTACCAGATTACTCTGGCTACGCTGTGGCGCATGCACGTGGAATATGGATTCGACAACCGATACCAGTTCGCTTGAGGAGTCATTACTTTGGTTGCTAGAGTTATGATACCCATCACAGTTCATGACCGTGGATAACAGCGTTCAATTGGCAAGTTATGCGTGCAACCGCAGCTATCCAGCTTTCAGAATGCGCTTTGCGCATCGTAGCGTTGTGCCTCACGAACACTGAAGTTCAATTGTATGGGCGCAAGTGCTGATATTGTATTGGGACAATTTTCCATTGTACGGGAGCATCCTAAAGCAATAATTCGCAGTTCGAAGAAGGTTTTTGGATGACATCGAACGACATTCACGCTACATTCGTCACTTCACCCCGTGAGGATGACATCAAACAACATTCACACAACATCATACAGCAATCGATCGAATCGGTCTGAATGACACTTACAGGTTTTGATGGATGCCTATTCTTTTTTTTTCCTTCTACTGTAGATTGATCTCAGATGCCATCAGAGGAAGTGGGGCTCCATCTACTACTACGACGCATTGTGTACTAGCAAGCATTGTATTCTTTCGATCAATATGAGGCATCGGTGCTAATGATGCTAACCTTGGACACAACTGGTGCCGCCACATCACTGCATCGTATTATACTACTGTACATGCAGCTTCAAAGCTCTCAACATAGTACTTACTCATTCCATTAGCGGTAAAATTATCGATTCGATCTGTTATGAGTCATAACTTATATCCTCCTCTTTCAGACACAGATTTTCTTCTGCATGCATAGTTTCTCAGAGAGAGATATTGAAAATCGTGTGGTCAACTGAGTTTGCCGTGACATAAACTGTTGGCGGGCTCATATTGTATGACTTTCCACACTCACTGGAATTAATCCGGATGGATTAGATAAAGCATTCCACTAAAACATTGCAAAAACTACTTAAAGTCCTAGGTTGTGCGATCCAAGATGGAAGTATAGCTCGATTTTTTTTCGTTCAACAATTTTTTTTTAATCCGAACCCAACTCTATCCGCCGGCAATGCGGTGACGTCCTATACGGTGACGAACGAATTCTTTCAGCGGAAAATTAAAAAAGAGCTGCATCTGGTGGTACGTCTTCTCCGAAAAAAAAAGCTAAAGGCTAGCTGCACTAGCTTAGGCATTTATCTAGGAAGACAAGGATGATTTAAGCTTATCTTGTGTGAGACTACAATACGACCCGCAGAGATCCACCGAACTGGTGGTGTAGAATGATCTACTACTTGATCCTGTTCTTGTCAAAACAAGTTCAAAGTACATTGTTACCGATATTAGTTCAGATCATCCTAATGCTACATGCATACAGTACCTTCAGATTAATACTTGATAAATGGCAATATCACACTTGGACGAATCGAAGCTGACAGTTTTTTGTTGTTGTTAGATCTTCAGGCGACCTGGACAAAATATGTGTGCGGCTGCACCGAACAGAGTTTGAATGCTCCTACGTTGTTGCTGTACGCCGCGCTTCCTGTGCGAGAGGAAGCACCGGGCGGACATCGTCAAAGCGAAGGACGAACACCCGCTACACGCGATCGAAATCTGCTAGACCTCAGTTTTAACTCATCAAACTTGAAACAAATTGCTGGCTTCATCGGGTTATCCTGCAAGTTTGGTTGAGCAGTTATCCTGGCAGCGCTAATTATTCGAATGCACGTTTTTTTTTTGTTTTATCGTCACCTGTAAGTTTCCGAGCACAACACTGCAATCTAAACGATCAGAGCGCCCAAAACGTTCATCATGTATACTGCAGTAGCGAGCTGGCAGACCGTGAAGAAGAAGGTGGCGAGGAAACCTCCAAACAAAAAGGGGTCGTCGCCGTACCGGTTCACGATGCGGCCGATGGGGTTCGCGTCGAAGAAGCGCAGCGGAGCTCTCAGCAACGACAGCGTCATCTTGTCGAACAGGAGACGGGAACAACCAAGTGTACAAAGTTTGATCGCTTATTTTCAAAGGCATTGCCGGTTCATATACATGTATCGTCACTCCAACGAATTGGTACTTCAACGATTGGGTTTGACAAACCCACCGTGATGATTCTACCTCCTCCTGCTCGTCGAATGAGGGCTCCACGGATTTAGTTTCAACTTTAGTTCTTTGTAGCTAGTAGAACGGTTATCAAGAGCGAGGTAATCAACGTAATTTCCTTCCTTCCTGCTACTGAAATGTGCGCTGATGCCCAGGCAGAATCCTTTATTTGGTAGATTACCAGGTAGGCAGATGCTGCGGCTGCGAAGCAGGCGCAGGGGATGCCCGAGTACATCGTTTCCCTGTAAGGCTATCCGTACAAGCCAGCTTCGAACTGCGAAACCCCCCCGGGTCCACCACCCGGGTCCCCAATAAATTATTCCGTGCTAAAAATGCCATAACTATTGTATTGTATTAAAAAGCGACTTGTTTGCTGCCACCATTGACAACCCGTAATAGGGGTTGTATTTTTTCCAACCCTGATCAAGAAGGTGGTCAAAAAGGACAAGACGAAGGACTCCCACGCGACACAAACCCTCAACATTCTCGACGACTATGACCCCATCTTCCTCGGGAAAAGAATAATGGAGAGATGGAACGATTTCAAGGAGGACGCGCTGTATTACCTCCTCAGCCAGTACTTGGGCATCTTCTGCACGATTTGGATGAGGGCGACGGTCACCCCGGCGAAACTCTAAGACAAGCTGAAAATTCGCGAAACAAGCGGCCCATACGACAAGAACTACCGCATCTACCAAGTGTACGTCACCGTGTATGAACGCGTCTACGGCCCCACGTACAACCCGCTCCACATCTTTGGTCCCAAGGCGAAACCCACGCAATAAGTAAGTTACGGGACAACCTCGGTAATACACTCCATATGTCGTGTACAACATCAATTTAGTCATTATTAGGGGCTTACAACCTTATTAATCCCTATATAGGTGTCCTTCAGCTGAAAGATCTTTGTTGAAGTTTCCTTTCCGCATGACGGGGCGCAACGACGGCAACGAAGCCCCGAGCACTCGTTCATGGGCAATAGCTTCAGATATGCATAGATCCAGTATGTCGGGCCCGAGTGCGGAGCTGGAGAAGCTGCTGGCAGCCGCCACGGACTCGGGCCGCTCCCAGGCGAGCGCCTACAACGCCGAGACGATGGTGGACGAGCTGCTGAGCAGCACGTGGGAGCCGATCGACCCAACCTTTGACACTTCCAGTACTACTAATAAGGGGCGTCTCGTGCGCCACGCCTCCTTCACTCAGCAGACCACAAGCCTCAACGCCCTGCAAAGCGTCTTGACGGAGTCTATCGACCGCCTCGTGCAGCACCGCAAAGTGGTGTCCAACCGCATCGCAGAGCTGGAGCAGGACAGTCGACGAGTGAGCGGCAAGTTCCAGGAGGGACTCGTGAAACCGGATTTACTACTAAATGTAGGAGTTTTTTTAGAATGAAAATATTGTAGAATAGGTCTTTATTACTAACTTGTTTATTTTTTTAAGGATATTTGTGCGCAGATGGAAGACTTGGAGGAGAGATTCACCAAAGTGAGCTCGTCGGCGGTGCTGATTGGAGATAAATTGTCAGGGCTGGATGGAGAGCGGTCGAGAGTTCTCGAGACGGACGAGCTCATGGAGGCGCTGCTAGCGCTGAACGACCCGAGCAGCAAGTTGACCAAGTCCAGCAACAGGCTTTTCAACATTCTGCACGATCCGAATCAGCTGCGCGAGGCATCAAGGATTGTCAAGAAGATGAGTGTCTTCTCGTCCGAGCTATCGTCTCCTACGATAGCGTATGCTGTGGCAGAGATCGAGAGGTTGAGTCAGACGACGGAGAATGATTTGTTGACGGAGTTTACCAACGAGCAGCAGAAAGGAAACTTGGCGGGGATGCACAAATGCGCCGAGTCGTTGATCGAGTACAACGACAAGGAGAAGGTGGCGGATAGATATGTCTGGAACGTCATGTGTGACAGGCTCGCAAAGTACGCTTTCACCGTCTACATGGATACTTCCGATAGTTTACCTAATGTTCGGCTATGTTTGGTGTGGTGTACTGCAGGGCCGCGGGTGAACCTGCTGCTTCCTCGTTGGACCCCATCGAAGACTTGGACGCACTGTTCACAAAGATACTTACAATCTGCACGGAACAATTCCCGGTGATCGACAGCGTGTTTCCAGCTGTAGCGTGTGACTCCATTCGCGAGCTTTTGGTTGAGCGCCTGTTCAATGACCCAGCTTTTGGAATTCTATCGTTCTTGGACCAATTTCTCAGCACCAGGCGCTACACGGAACCATCGGGTGCTTCGTCGAACACTGCAGACTCCTCATCCACGAGCGACTCAGACCCCGTTTTGTCGACGAGTATGCAGAACAACCGAAGCTACGTGAAGTTGCTGTGCGCTGCGTATGAAAAGACGTGTGCGATGGTGTCAGAAATTGAAACTATTGAGAAATCGAATCAGGCAGACACTCACAAGCGAGAAGGTTTCTTCAACCAGGATAATGATGACCATTCGAGGGAACGAAAGCCTGCTGGCGAGAGTAGCGACCGTGAGCGAATCCACACGTTCCTCAATCTGCAAATGCACTCATTGTTCGGGAACCATCGAGAAAAATACTTGACGACGGAGCTGGATTTACTGCAGAGTCAATTCAAGAACATTTTCGCAACGGTGCAGTTTCCCAAGCCACCTGTGGTCTCAAAATCTAAGGGAGGAACCTCCAAATCGAAAACCTCGGCTACATCGGCTGCTTCAACTACATCATCGACCCAGTCCCCATCCGCTTCTTCGACCCAACTGGTGTCGTCGGCCTCAACGACGTCGATTTCGTCGTCTAGTTTCGAAAAGGATGGTGGCGTTTTGCAGCTGGAAGGGTCCTTAGTCTTCTTTGAGAGCCTTCGAGGACTAGTGGAAGATGATGCGGTGCCTACTAAATATGCGGAAGTGATTGACGAAACCATTGAGCGGTGTGAGATTATCTTGAAAGACTCCGAGCTGCGTGGAGAGCTGGTGACGAAGGTGTTTACGTCTTTTGTAGCATCGTTTGGAGATGAATACCTGGGTGTACGTTCTTGGCACTGGACTTGACCGATCTGCACTACGCTGTTCTGACGCTCTAACTGTATCTCTGCTTAGAAAATCACAACACTGGCGAAGGAAATTTTGCAAGACCAGCGTCTCACACCTGAATCCGCTTTGCAGTTTTTCATAGTCACCGAGGTAAACACTTCGTTTTTTTTTCTCTAGCCCGCATGGACGACTAACGCTGTGCATACCTTTCGTACAATTGTGGCTCACAGGCTCTCCTCAAGAGAATTGACTTCCTTGACGAGCAATTCGAGACTTGCATTGCGCCTTCTCAGGAGGACTCTCCAACACAATTGACGTAAGTTCAAGGTCTAGTTTTATATTAACGTTAGATCTACAGTCCCGGTTGACATGTTGTTTCCAGAATTTGCCAGGAGAGCAAACGGAAGTGCCTGGACAAACTTGAGAGCTCCATTTCAGCCGCCCTACAGCAAGCTCTAACTGTGATCGAGAAAACGGTTGGGCAGATCCTGGCGGCGAATCAGGGCAAAACAGACTTCCTGGGAGGACAAGCGAGTATGTCTCTATCATCGTCCAAGGCGTGCCAAAAGTGCACCGAGTATCTCCAACCACTCGTTGAAACAATTTGTCGCGTGTTGGTACGTTTCGTGTTGAAATAACACGAAGATTAGGAAGGGTGAGCATCTAATTGTTAAGATTTATGACAGATCGAGGAGAATTGCGACCGCTTCCTCGTTGCTTTGGCCCAGTCCTTCAAGGAGCTGTATCTCCAGCACCTGCGCAAGTTCCGCTTCGACCCCGACGGAGCCTGCATGCTACTCCGCGACGTCAGCGAATATCGTCAGGCCTTTCGGTCGCCTTCGCATCCTGTCGCAGTCGACGAGATATTCGACCTCTTACACGAGATCGCGAACGTGTTCGCGCTACCGCCAGAGAACCTAGGAGGGTTTGTTCGTGAAGGGAAACTAGCGACACTCAACAAGCAGACATTGCAGCATATCGTGAAGCGCCGCTGGGACTACAAGACGAATGCAGAGAAGATTGCTGCGTCATTGAAAGACGCGAAACAGGATGCAAAGGACGAGAAATCGACGTAGAGAGTGCGTCGAGGTCTATCGATTAATGACTAAGCACCGCATTTTCGAGCATACCGGGTACATGTACATTCATTACTTGAGTTGAGAATTACAGCTAAAGCTAAACCTTCACTGTGCACCCTATAAGGTATGCACTAAAAGAACATGAAAAAGCTGCAAATCAACCTAAACGGACTCTTAGCTAAACCCATTTGAACTCTTGTACGATGGAATTGTTATTTTTGGTGTTCAAACTTCGTTCTTGGTTCCCAATGCTATCAATGGGCAACAGTGAATTGATGCACTACCGAACGCAGCCTGCTTTTGGGAAGTCGATTTTCTAAGTACAGTAAGGTAATACCTTACTTGAAAAATAAATAGAATACTTAGTACAGTAAATAAGATGATTATCAATCTCCAATTATAGTATCGCCAGTATAGACAAATTAAAGCCCCCGTAACCTGGACATCTTACGTTTTCAATCAACAAATTTTGATCTCTCCAATTTCCAGCCAGCAATGGCTGTAGCCTCCGTCAAGAGATTTGAACACGAATGCGTATCGCGTGCTCGTTACACCTATTTACCCACTCTGATTGGTTTAAAATGCGTCTGTTATTGGCCTCCTCCTTCACTGGCCCTCACAATTTGACTCCCTCAACCCACAACAAGCAGCTGACGATGACAAGCAACCTGTGCCTCCCTGCTACTGCTGGACCTGTATTACAGACTCCGTCCCGTGGTCGCCTCGATGGAGACCAAGTTCGAAGTGCCTGCACTGCCTTTTGAGCAGCACATGAAGACGCGACAGGCGCTGAGCCATCTCCCGGATCTCTGCTGGACGGATTTGCTAAGCTACTGGACGAGAAATGCGTGAGTCAGCAAAGCGTAACGCGATAAAACCTCAGCTCGACGATCCGTGTACTGCTAGAGGAGGCTGGACTATGGCAGGCGCAGCAGCGCATTCAGAGGCAGCCCAATCAAGTTCAACCAGCATCGTTTACCACTGGCAATCAGATGGGCGCTTTCATCGGATGCCGCAGGATTTTGCTTTTCCACAGCTAGATGCGCTAAGTGTGTGGCGTATTTGGTGGCTTGGCCACCCTGCTGCCGGATACCCGCCTTTTCGGGCGCTGCAGCCATCTGACTTCACGAAGACCAACCGCAAGATGTTTTCGGAATGGACGGTGCTGGTCCGACATATCGTCGCTGGTGTGGAGGCAAGTACAGGGGCGAGAATGCAGCGACCAACTTCACAACGTGTAGCCGACGATCTCTACCAACTCGGCATAGCTCATGTGCCGATGAAGCCGCCTACACATGCGGCGAAGCAACGGCCCGAGCGAGCAGTAACCACACTGCGACGAATCCGGCAGGCAATCCACGAGTCGAATCCGGAGGCGAGGCGTGTGCTGTTTCGTCACAGGAAGCGCACTAGAAGCACCAAATAGAGGTTAACAGCATTAACAAGGCGTTAGTCGTGATGACGCAGCACATTAGCTCGTTCGATAGATGCTTGTTCGTCTTACCTCGCCACCGTTCCCGTCGAAGATGCACGACAATGGGATCTGGCGCCCCGCAGAGTGAGTACTGCCCTTTAGTGATAAGAATATTAGCCAATCAGACGACGTTCGTTATGCGTGTCACGAACCGGTTACGGGATCTCGACACAAGTCATTGACAACCATCTACCTCGGCTAACTGGGCAGGGAAGCGCATTGCCCTTGAACTCAGTTCAATGAACTGAGTCAAGTGCACTTTCGGTGTCGTGGCTTGATTTTTCGCGGTTGCCAGCTGCTGAGGAGACAAACACGGCTTTGGCCGTTGACGTAAGTCTGTGTATTGTGCATTCAGAATTCAACTTGAGCCTGAAGTCCCAATCTTGAGATCGAGATGACCGACGACAGCCGATAAAGCTGGCGCTTGATTGGACTCTGCCAGGAAAGTTGACAATTCCCAGGACTCTTTCCTGTGCATTGCAGGCGGCAAGAAAAGCAGCCATGTGCTCTTTGCCTCTGTGACCAACGGCTGCCCTCAGTAAAACACGGCAGCCTCAGAACAAGCCATGCGCCTCCTCTGCTACGTCTTCCTGGCGCTGGTTATCCTCTTCGCCGCGGACAGCCACGCCTCCTCCGCGACTACCGTCTCGGACAAGTCGACGCTTATTCAAGACGCTGCACCAGTCCACTCGGAGCTTTCCGTGGCTGTATACGATAGCTCAAAGAGAAACCTCCGGAGCGATGGCGTCGCGAGCGAGAGGGACGCGAAGAATGAGGAGAGGGGCTTCACGCCTACAGGCGTGAAGGAAGCTGCGCAGATGGTCAAGACGAAGAACTCGCACGCGACACACACGCTCTACGTGCTCAACGGAAACTCGCCCGGGTGGTTCGGCAAGTTCAAGAAGCTGTACAGGAAAGCCAAGTTCAACCTGGAGTATTACTTCCGGACGAATTACTGGAACATCCGCTTCACGCTTTGGCTCAAGATGAAGAGAACCCCGGCAAAGATGTACGACCTGCTGAAGGTCCGCGAAACGACCGGCATGTACGACAAGAACTACCGCGTCTACGTCAACTACGTGGCATTCTACGAGAGGTTCAAAGGCCCAGCGTACAACCCCATCCACATCTTTGCCCCGTAGTTTAAGGTTGACTAGTTTCGTGGAATCTAATTTAACACGTCGTGGATCTTTTAAAAGCCCCGAGGGCTTTAGATTGTCAACATCAGCGCAGCAAATATCAGAGGGCGCTCCATGTGAAAGCTGTTATCGAGTAACGCTACTGTAGAATTCAACAGTAAATTAGTGTATTTGGTAGCTCTCGACTGTCAAGTAGTCGACACCACGGTCAGTACATGTAGAATACGGAAAAATCTCCACTAAGAAAATCTGACCGAAATGACAGATCAGCACCAAGGGTGCGTGGTCCTTCTGACTCTAAAAGCTTCCAATTCGCAAGTTGTTTGCGGTGTTGTGATTCAAAAGAAAACTGCAAGTATTTTGCACAAAGTCGTGCGGGGCCCGAAGAAGCTCTGAAATTTGTGGTAAGGATAAAATACTCGAATCTAATATCCAAGTGGAGCCAGAGATCATAATATGCTGCACACTACAACTTGCCGATTCACATTTGTATGTTGACGCTTCTGTTTACAGAGCTCACGAGTAATGCTGTGGGCCGGAATAGGGACGGTATCTGTAGTATGACATACTGTGGCGTTGCCCATAATCTCGAATCTAAAGTAAACTACCACATCATACAGATAGATGTGCTTTCTGTTGTAGCAGCAAATCCGTACATCAGTCGTATGGGGGGCGACTGCGAGTGGGTATTGCTACGCAGTTAGCTCACCGGTGCTCCGAAGCTAATAAAAGCTCGACAACCAAGTAAAATGCCAGCGTGAACTCGCGTAAGGTCAATCTGTAACAAATTGGTTGTAACTGCCACTTGAGTTTATATAGCGAGTACGTGTATATTCATTCATGTGCCATTTCGAACTCATGAAGTCGACGGGTTTCTCTCATTGCTGCTTCGCCGGGCTTGAAATATTTTAGAAACTTGAGTGTAAGCTTTTCCATGAGATAGAGTTCCTTCATCATCTTAAAGAGATAGATCGGTGGATCGGTACTAATGGTAGCACGGTCGATCCAGTATATCTAGAGCATGCTCTGCGATTTCTTGCTGGCTGGGAACGGATGAGCAGAAGGAGAAGGCGCTCTTAGCGTTGAGCAGCATTGCGTGGGGGAGTCTACCGCATCAGAGAGCAATCGCCGGGGGATCAAGCTGTACTTACAGCTTGTGCGCAATGGAACAGACAATCAAAAAGCAGCGGCGACAAAGGCGCTCGGTTACCTCGTTTTGGGTAACCCAGGGACCCAAACAGCGATCGCTCGAGCTGGTGCGATCCATCTGCTCTTGGAGCTTGTCCGCAATGGAACCGACGATCAGAAGTCGAACGCGGTGACTGCGTTGGCGACTCTGGCGAACCAGAACCAACCAATCCAGGGAGCAATTGCCGCGGCTGGAGGCATCGAGCTCTTCGTTGAGCTCCTTGGCGCCGGAACGGACCAGCAGATCGAACGAGCCACGTGGGCGCTAGCAGCGCTGTCCGAGAGGAACGAAGCGAACAGAATGGCGGTAACTTAAGCTGGAGGACGGCAGCTGATCGCCCAGCTCAAGGCCAGGGGGACATCCACTGCGAAGGAATTCGATGAGAGTCGGGATGTCCATGCTTCCGTCTGGCACAACAGATGAGGACGCATTTTGGTCTGGTTCACTTGTAGCTGTCGACGAAGGTGAAGCAGTACTGGCAGCACTTCCACGCTCATCCGACGCAGATTTCGCCACGTTGGTGGATATTTCCACCGCTTTGTTGGTTTCGTCCATTTCTCCAAACTCTTTCAGTCGTTCGACACTGAATTCAGTGCAAGTCGCATGGTAGGGTCCACGTTCGTCATGGCAACCACCAACTCCCACTCGCTGTCATTCAATTCATCGGGCTGGTCAGGAATTAGCCCATCTTTTAGGTTCTCACGAACGATGATGTCGTCCAAGAGTGCAAAGGGAGGCTCGCCCATTGCGGCCTCGATGATGCACATGGCGAGCGAATATACGTCGGAGGCGAAGGTCGGCCGTCTAGTTAGACACTCAGGAGCGCTCCAACGCAGCGCACCTGTCACTAATTCACCTTTAGAGCGCGTGTAACAGGACCACATCGTACTCAACCCTAAGTCTGCGAGCTTCGCCAAGCCGTCTGCCCCCACGAGGATGTTGTTAAGCTTGAGGTCGCCATGGACGACCCTCGTTTTGTGTATAGTCCAGCCCGAGAGCTGCTTGGTGCAGGAGACGCCACAGCTCGCGCTTACTGCAGTTAGACCGGATCAGAAACACCCCGAGGTCTCCGTTGACTGCATCTTCACACGCAATGAACGGCGGTGAGCACACGTGAGACGCACCAAACATCTTGATGACGTTCGGGTGGTTGAGCTGGTACCAAATGTCCATCTCCTTCTCGATCTTGAGCTGCGCGCGTTGGTCGATCGCCTAGTCCTCCACGAGGAAGCGCTTCACGGCCACTTTCGTGCCGGGGCCCACACTCCGTGGTGTACAGATCCATAGGATCCGCTGGCGAATGGCTTGGGTTCAACCTCCACTTCACTCGAAGGAATAAATCATGGTGGTACGGGTCCCTCCGGTGTCTTGGACGCGAGAGCGATGGTTGCTTGGATCGACTTCATCAACCGGATGATCCTCTCGTCGTGTCTCGCAGCTCGCTGCTCCATCTCGAACCTCAGTGTCAACAGAGCCTCGCTCTGGGCCCGTGGGTCCTGCAGGTCGCGTAGAACCACTGCATTGTCTCTAGCGGTGGCGGCCATCACCTCTTTCATCGAGCTCACCTCGTCGCCCCCTTCGTCTCTCCAGAAACTTTTGCTGCTGATACCGCAGAGCTCAAACACCTTCGTCACGTCTTGATTGATCTGGAGTAGGTCGTTGACAATGGTCCAGTGCTCTACCACTCGGTAGACGATACCTTTGCCTCGGTAGCGGTGTAAGTAGCGGAAGAACCGCGAAGGTTCGGCGACGAACTTGTCCAGAGTATTCGGCGGAGAAAGAACCCCTTACTGCTCCCTCTTCTGGAGCTCGACGTAGAGCTCCATCAGCCGACTGTGGAGACCCTCGCATACGTTTTGGGCTTCTTCCATTTCTTGGCAAAGCGAGCGGATCCAGGGTAGAACATCAGTGATTCGACCGGCCTCAGGAACGACAAGATCAGCGAGCTTGACCATGGTGCCGATATGTGAGTTAGGCTCTTGACTAGGTAGGAGACGGCTTGGCGGAGGCTGCTTAGTTTAAGAATGACAAGCACCTCTCGGTTTGCTGGGAAACTGGGAAGACGACGCCAAGAATAAACCAAATCCAATGAAGTTTTGGATCTAAAGGAGTTCGAGCCGATAGAAACAATTCAAAGCAAATCTCGTGGTCAGAAACACCAAAGCCGTAACCTCGTACGTGATAAAGCTCTAGGACGCCGAAAAAAAGAATTTCTCCGTCAAGTTCTGTGAAGAACTTGAACCTGAACGCATTAGCAAGGACGAAAAGGTCAAACCAGAAGTCCGCCTGCTTTGATCGTCGACTTCGTAGCCGCCTTCGTTTACGACTAGCGCCTTCGTTTCGTACTGTTCTCGTTGTCTTCGCGAAGTTTGTGCAACGCAGTCTCAAACGCCCGCTTTTGTGCCTTTGTCCCCTTCGTCCGAAGCTCTTTCAGCTATGCACCGGCCCCTCGGTTGATTATAACGGTTTTGTATTCGGGGCTTTCCGCAGCAACTTGGCCTAAGACAAAGGCAGCTTCTGCTCTCGTTTCGTTGCTCCTAGACTGAAGGAGCTCGACCAGCGGTGGAATCGCTCCTGCGGCAGCAATTGCAGAGCGTGCAGTCCTAGTGGAGCTCAATGAAGACCGCACACGCACCGCGCCATCCGTTACCATCTCGTTCTGCTCAGGAGCAATTGCTCCCGCATCTAATACCGCCTGCCTGCGTTCACCATTTTCCAGCAAGTTCTCCAAGATGCAAATTGCATGCTCCTTCTGCCGATTGTTCCCCGCACGCAGTAACGCAACAACAGGGTCAAGAACTCCAGCGCTCGCTATGGCGTTATGATGCGCTTGATACCACGAGGCATTGTCCAACAGATACGCAGCCCATTGCTTTGCCCTTCATTTCCTGCCCGAAGAAGCGCCACACACGATACGACGACACCCTGATCCACGATAAAATTCCGCGCTCGGCGATCGAGAGTCAGGTTGCCCAACGCCTGCGCTGCATGCATCTTTTGCTGATCGGTGCCATCTTGAAGAAGCGTAACCAAAGGGGGCATGGTCACTTAAGGATGGTGTCCCGAAAACATTGGCTAACCGTTGAATAAGCCAACATTCGCGCGGAGTGCGTCTTCGCAGCTTCAGATCCATCCTGAAGACGAGCAGCGAACAGCGAAAGTCCAATTTCGCCTGTGATTTGAGATTGATGCACCCGGCTAACAGTCAGATTAGCCACAAGTAGAATTATGTGACCTTGTAGTTCGCTTGCTCCTGATCGAAGTAGCTTGATCGGGTCGGGGATGGCTCCTGCATCGACGATTGCATCTCTGTTCGCATCGTTGTCAAATACAACGTTGCCCAGTTCCCAGTCTGAATAAAGGCGGCGAGAACGCGACTCGGAGCTTACGAGAGATGGAATGGCGGCAATAATAACATCCAACTTGCTGCTCTTGGAAAGGCGACTCAACGCCCAGCACGATTGCTCCATTTGTCCGGCCCTGTCCGTTTGCAAGAGTGCGACCAGCGGAGCTATGGCCGCATTGTGTGTGATCACATCGCGGTTCGTCTCATCCTCAGCCAAATTCCTGAGTGCGTGTGGTAGTTTCCGCGTTGCTTGGAATGCTGTTGTGCTATTGACTGCAAGTTTAGAAGTGAGCTTCCTTTGTCTAGGCTCCTATTCCTGCTTTCACTCGAACGTCCTACTCCTATGATAGGCCTAAGAAGAGGTTCTTAGGCTTCGCCTAAAGAGTCGGTTGTTGTTCACTGCAACTTCACGTTGATAGCCTATGATGCACTTTGCGACGGTGTTCTGGATTGTAGATAGCCTCTTTGCCTTTGAAGATAGACAGTCACCGGTTGACAGAAATCTGTCACACGACTGTGATAGACAGTCCAAACATGCGACGGGACACAGTTACCGGTCAAGTTGCACTTCACCGGGTTGAAGTTGCGCCATAACCCGGTAAAGACACCAGACTAGTCACTCGAACGCCGACAAAGTGCTGCGAGAGCTTGGACTAACTCATCATCACCACTGTCCTCGATGTACGCCGCGACCCGGCCGGGCAGGTCATCATTCAGTGCCTGTAGGAATTCCCACGAATCTTCTTCGTCCTGCAGACCAACCCAGGAGACCAACAACTGCCAACCTTGCGGGACTTTGCGGTGGTCCTTGAACTTTTCGACGCCGAGAACCATGCCCTGGTTGCCAACATGGGCGAGTAGCTCTTCACTGGTGCCTAAACTGCCATCACGGGAGAATTTGAGGCGCGAGCCGTGCACCATGTAGCGTTGATTGTCCAGCAGATGGCGGATCATGTAGGAGTGAGGGTGTTCTTCGACAACTTCAAAGGGTCCCACCCAACGTGCCAATAGTTTGTTGACCGAAAGGCGTGAGTCGATGCGAGACCACAGTACAAAGTCACCAACCGAAAAGTTGCATGGCACTCCATTCGAACGGCTCATGTTCTGCAAGCGACGTCGTTCTCGGATGTCCTCTACTTCCTTGTGCATGTCTCTGAGGCTACGCTGCATCCTCTCCACCATATCGTTCGGAATGTTCACGGGCTCAGATACCACCATCGGCTTGCCATTACGCTGAACCACCACTGCCTCAAAAGGGGTCGGTCGGGGCAGCGCTGTAAACAGTTCGCCGGGCGACTTGTTGCCCAGTGACGCAACAGGGGTATGGTTCAGGATTCCCTGTACGGTGGGTACCAGGTACTCCCACTCATGTGTATCCAACTTCATCTCCATCAATAGAACCCGAAGCACTTGTAGAACGTCACGGTTGAGTCGCTCAATGGTGCCATTAATCCATGATGCATATGCGAGAACGAGGTCCTGCTCAATCCCGAGCTGCCTACACAACTGCTGCACCACCTCATTCTTAAAGAGGCTACCTTGGTCGGAAATCAGATTCTGCGGCGGTCCAAAGCGCTTCGACCAGTCCACCAGGCCGCTAGTCGCCACTGCACTTGTCGGTGAATCACAAGCAACCAACTCACAGAAATGAGTAAGTCCATCCTTCAGGACAAGTAGGTATTTGCAATTTCCCACACTGTCGCCGAGATAGAGAAAATCCCAGTGCAACATTTCATTGCGCTCAGTAGCATTGTAGGTAGGCCCCCCTGGTCGTGGAATCACATTGCCGCCCTTCACATGTTTACACAGAAGACAGCGCTTCAAAAACTGCCGGCAGTACTGCTCCAAACTACCGATCGCGAAAATGTCTTTGATCGTCGTCATCATGGCGTCCAGTCCACGATGACCCTGGTTACCACAATGGGCCACGATAAGGATGCGTTGCCGTAGCTCTTTGGCCGAGTCCGGGTCCAGATGCGGTCCTCGATTGTCATAGTCCCTTCCTCATCGGTAGTCACATTGGCAGGTGCCGTTTGTTGACGCTTCTGTTGTTGGTGTTTTATCTCCTCTAGCGTCGGGAAGACAAAATCACCTTGGCGTGGGCGAAGCTCGTCCAGTTGACGGCTAGCCGCATCGTCGAGGCGCTGCTGGTTGCGCGTCATGAACTTGCACTGAACGTGCACCCCCACCTCTCCCGAAGACAAGGAGTCCCAGCGCGACAGGAGGTCAGCCCAAACATTTGCCTCGCCATCGATGTGCTCGATACGATAGGGAAGCCCAGTTAAAGACAGCGCCCACCGCTGGAGTTTCCCGCGGATGTGGCGCTTGACCTCATGTGTCGGCGAGAACACGTACAAGAGGTTCTTGTGGTCACAAAAAAGTTGAAAGCCAGCGGGCCGGACGAGAAGGTGGCCAAGATTGCGTGCAGCCCAGATAATAGGGTACGCCTCTTTCTCAATGATGCTCCACCGTCTCTCGGTTGCGTCAAAGATGCCGCTCTTACAGGCCAAGAGCTCGTGCTGTTGCTCGTGGTCCAGCTTCTCAGGGTCCCAGTTCTCCACTTGAGTAACCACAAGTCCCCACCCCAGCTCGCTAGCGTGGTAAAAACGGAAAGAATAGCCGAGGCGTTAGGAAAATGTAGCAGTTGAGACGACCCGAGAAGCTATTTGGCCGCGACAAACATGGCCTCGACATCTGGCGTCCAAGCCAGCACAACCCCTGCGGCGAGCTTCTTAGTACGCCCACTCACGCTCAGGATCGCCTCCAACTTATCGTGCAGAGGCCGCATGACACGGGCAAAATCAACGAGAGTATCACGCATCCAGCCAGCAGCACACAAAAACTGCTGCAAATCGGCAGCCGTAGTTGGGAGCGGCAGCACCTGCAATGTGTTGATGCGTTCAGGGTCGTGACGGATCCCAGCACCGCTGAAAATGCGGCCGCACCAGCGGATCTCCTTCTGGAAGAGGTAGCTTTTACTCAAACTGAGTTTCAAACGACGGGTACGACAGAGCTCGAAAAATGTCCGAAGTGCTGCGATAAATGCTGGTGCATCCTTTGCATATACTAGAATGTCGTCAATCCACACGAGCAGATGAGCATACAACATCTCGGCGAACACAGTCTGCATCTCGTTCTGAAAATGTGTCGCGGAGTCGCTTGCTCCCTGGGGTACACGAGTCGGCGTCCACACAGTGTCCGTAGTGATGAAACTCATGCGCTCCTGGCTATCAGGATGTAGCGGTAGCTGCCAAAACCCTTTCGGCATGTCAAAGTCGGCAAACCCACACGCTCCCTCGGCTTCATTAGCTGAGTCAGTCACATCTTCGGCCGAGCCAGCAATCGGCACAGTTAGTGCGTTCACAGGTCGGTAGTCGACCGACATTCGGAATTCGCCAGGCGACTTCGGTTTGGCCACCGGTACCGCTGCACAGGCCCAATGGCTTTGGTTGTTCTGCCGGATAAAACCCATCAGCTCCGGTCGCTTCGTGTATTCACGGAGGAAGTTCCGCTGCGCAGGAGCGTACCGGTGCGAGCGCGCTCTGAATGGCTTGGCACCTTCGATCAACTTAATCCGCAGTGGTGCGATGTCAGCAGGCGGGTCTGCACCAAGGTCGATCCGAAAGATGTCTTCGTATTCCAGTACAGAGTCTCGCAGGAAAGAGAGGTACCCTTGGTCGAAACCGTTATTGCCCGCAGCAACCACCTTGTCCTCGAGTTTATCACGCACTTCTCTGGTGGACAGGTCGGCATCAGCACATTCTTCCTTTTCAGTCGAAGTCGCTCACGATTCTGGGGGCGTGCCAAACGCGGCACAATGATGACGAAGTTGCATTGTAGCACCACCACTGCCGGGGTATCCGGGCGTGGGGGATGCCCCTAAACTTGATGCAATGCGGGCTTCTGCAGCATTTGCGACGCCATCCGCGATGTCAACTGCCCACTTATGCGCGTGTATCGTTCGACTGCGTCGGACTTCCTTCTCCCAAACAGCTTCACTGCCAGACTATCAAAACCAGCATTAAACAGCGCCGTAGCGCCGCCACTTCGAAGGGAGTGCGAGGCGTAGTATTGCGGATTACGGCCAGCTCGACCAGCAGCAGCCTTTATCGCTCTTACCACGTCGGATACTTGCAAATTGTGAGATGCATCCACCTTGCACAGTAACTCGCCCGCATCAATACGAAGCGCCTCGTGGTGACGAACTAGGTACAATGCTGCTAGTACAGGGCAACACCACCGATGCCCAGATCTCGCCAATTCTCGAGAAGTACCCTTGCCAAATTGGTCGGATTTACTCCCTCGAAATTGTAGAATCACCGAAGTCACATCATGAAGGTTTCGGGTCTCGTGGCCTCTAGCATCCACAAATTTGACGTCCGCTCTCCGAATTGCGTAGTCGTGCATCCTTGAACCTTGAGCCAAATATTCGGATCTTCTCAACAGAAAGAAAAAGCCCAGCACCGAAGCCCCCCAAATGACCCGGTGCTGGGCAACTGCGAAATCGAGGAGCTCATGCAGGCACTTGAGGATTGCGCTTGTAACGGGAGATTTTGGCTTACTTGATGGGTCTTTCCGCCGCATTCCGGTGATAGCGAGTTGGTGGCCCGGCAAAAGGCCGACGTTGTAACCAAGGGTTCGCCTATGATGCCACGCAATATGGCTGACTTTAGAGAGCACGGTCGAGGCCGATCCCGATTTTCCCCAGCCATATTTCCAGCAGTACGTGGCGAAAAGGGCGAGCTGGTACGAATGTTGCCGGCGGTCTTCTGGCAGCCATTTTGCGAATTGAAGCCGCTCACACCATCTACACCACTGTGTCCATGTGCTTGCATACTAGATCTTGGACGTCGTGGCCAGTGACTCGGACTGAAGAGATTCGAGAAGTCGATGTAAATTTTCCTGCATTCTTGTGGAACTTGTGTCTGCACTCAACACGAAGAAAAATTAGTCCATCGAGCAATGTAAGGTTCGGTCCAAGCTCGCGAAGCTGCATCAGCCATCCAATTGGCCGATCCTGGAATATGATTCGCCGATACTCGAAGGTTGAAATACACTTCAGCCAGACCAATCGCCCGATTTATTTCTTGGCTGAACGCGTTGTTGGAGTGCATCCGATTGCACCAACTCACAGCTGCGGCATTGTCACTCCAACACTTGACATGAATTGTGCGTCCGTTCGCTTGTGCGCTCCACTTTGAACCCCACGACCACAACGCGATGGCAATGCACAAGTGTTCCCTGACATTGATTGAAAACTCGTCATGGCCGCTACCAACTTTGTCGATGAGCAATTTCTCTTCGTCATCAAACTGGATCTGTATATATGACTCGCAGGCGGGATCAAGCACGGCTAGCCCGAGGTTGGACGCGTCCATATACAGCTCCACGTCCGGTGCCGGCAGCTCACCAAACATCGCAAGCGGTAATTCAGCAAAACAACCATGCATTAAAATGTGCCGAAACCACACGAGATCTGTTTTGGCCCCTGCTGTAAGTTTAATTCTACCGAACCGTGGTGCTGATGTACACAGTGTCTGCAATCGTTGGTAAAAAGGCTTGGCTGTTGGCAGACAATTAGCCACGTGGCGAAGAGAACCCAGTAGCTTGTACAGTTCGGATTTTGACGCTGTGCCGCGTTGCTCCATCGCACTGGCGCGAGCACGAGCTTTAGCGATCTTCTCTTCTGGTATCGATACGGTGCGGCGCTCGGTGTTCCATAGTAGACCCAGAACAACAATTTCCACACTCCATTCCGAAAATCTTGCCTCATTGATCGACCGAGGTCCTAAGACAGCCAACATAGCGTGTCGTAAAGTAGCTTCAGCGAGTTCTAACCTGTTCTGGACATCCGGTTCGACCAAGACATGGTCATCTACCCACTCGTAAGGAAAAAATGGGTTCGTGTCGCTCGAGTCGGACACCGCTGCAGGTGAACTTCTGCCAATTAGCCACGTGATGGCACGGCCAAAGAGTGCGTAGCAGGGGGGCGAACCTGACCAGCCAAATGATGCCGCCATATCGACGACGAGAATGCCGAGTTCTTTCACATATGCCGCCATTCTGAAGACTTGGTTTGCGCGTGTTCTTAAGTGGCGAAAGGCACTCTTGACATCTCCCTTGAGGACGCGTATCCGGCCTGCATGCCCTGCTTTTGCTAAACTGTCGATGCGCCGTGCGATAACTACCACTGACTCGTATCTCACCTTGGGCACCGACTCGACAATAAATGCAGCGTTTACACAGTCGTCTTTTGGGTAGGATAAGTCGTGAATTGTGCGCACTTCCTCGATCGGGTCCACATCCTTCTTCTCAACAGCACCGAGCGGACTGCAGATTAGTTCTGGCCACCGCTCAATGATATCAGCATCTACTATCAAGTATTGACCGGAGTCTTGGCCATCCCGAATGCTTCTTGTGACAGCACGTAGGTAACGGCGGCGGGAACCATGGTTCTTCGGTGGTGGCCGCCGCGGTCTCGGCCCTTGTCTCCACCCCACGTCGATGCCCTTCTCAGCAATTTCAACGAGTAGATCGAGATGTTGATAGCCGTTAAGAACGGTCCGCAGCCGGACAGGATCGATGGCTTTGTTCGGTCTGCTGTCTACGCTATCTTCACCCCGCACAAATCGCGTAGCCTCTTCCAGGGACATATTGTGCGTGCGAATTACGGTGGATAGAGACTTGCAGGCTACTTCGTCAATTGCGTAGACAGGAGATGCTGGTCGCTTTGCACTAACGAACCCCCGTTTGCGGTGCAGGACGGAAATTCGAGCTTCGGCCCGAATTAAATCCGCTTCCAAACATGATTGAATCTCTCGGGCCGAATCCAATGACAGACTAATGTGGGCGTGACTGCAACACCTCAACCGACAAACGCTTGCACCCTCCACCGGCAACTGCTGCGACTCAGGTGATTTTGAACGCAAGTCAGCTACCCGGGTGCAGGATACCTTGCCGGTCTCGCTCCTTGCATCTGCCTCTGTGTCATAACAAGGCCTCGATTGACGACTATTTGTGCAACCAGCAGCCATTGGGCTGTCGGATTTACCGCAGATCCCGCCGACTGCGTACAAATTACCTCGCCAATCTTGCTCGTTGTTGTGGGTACCCTAATTGAGTCGCGTGGGGGCCTCGATTGCACGCGTAATCTAGACTGGCCCAACACCGTCTGAGATCCATCACTTGAATTGATTGGGTTAACGCAGTTTGCTACTTGACCTCGCGCCACCCTATCGGCTTTGCATGGCACCGCCGACGGTCGGTCGTTTTGCGTTCGTGATGGATAAATTGCCAGACCAGTCTGAACGAGTCATAACTCTTTGTGCTCGTCCTTCAGCCCACCAAAGCGCCTGTCAATCTCTTTTTTCACGATCGCGGGAAGCTGCTTGGGAACGAAATGCCCATGCTCGCTGGGACAACCGCGATCACTGTCCACCGCACAACCCGCCGCTGAGAGAAAACGCATGCACAGTCGTCGCGACTTTCCTGATGCGAGGTCGTTCTGCACTGGTAATTTGCGAAGAACTTCCTTAGGGATTCGCCCAAATCGCTTCTTACCGTCGTGGTTGCGGCCGTTGCGGAGCTGGGATCCTTGTTCAACGTGGCCCTCAAGGCGTGCTGGTCCCGACATTATCTCGTGTCGTACATCCTGCACTTGCCGATGCACCTTTATAAACATCGCATCCTTGAGCAACCGGTCATCGGTCGTACAACGTTGCTGTACGGCTCGAAGCTCACCACCTTCCTCAGCCGCTGCGATAGTGTGTTTTCGATGAACTTCACGATGGTCTCAACCAATTCGACCAGTTCAGCACAGCAAAACTCGCGAGCATAGGTGAGGAAAACCCTGGCAGAGTCCACAACATCTTCGATGCGCGATGCCGGCGATGCCGCCGAGAATTCTGCAGTTGCGGACAAATTGTCAAAGTTTGAACCACCGGCCTCCAACCAATCCACCCGCTCATCCCTCGATAGTCTTGCAAAGTGTCGAATCGAAAGACTACCAGAACCGAAACGAATATCATAGGCCCGCGTACAAATTCCAGGTACGGCTTTGAACTCCACGTGCTTGGACCGAACTAAACCTCTGCAAAACACATTGGCAGACTTACCTTTGTGCTTCTCCGTTGTTATGCGCTCGTGAACTAATTCCTGCTCCTCGGACGGTGCAAATGCGTACTTAGACGCCTTCTTTCCCCTTGTCGTAGGGGATGGCTTCTGTACGTGAGTACGCATGGTACCACCACCCTCCGCCGGCTGCGCTTTGACGTTGGCCTCCTTCCTAATCATCAAGAAACGCTCGAGAAGGTCCGGTTCGTCGCTTATTTTTGCGATAATCAACGCGTCTTGATCAATACCGGTTTGAACTCGTTGTCGCTTGGAGGGGACGTGGCCATCGTCGCCGTTGGCAACCGTGACCTCTTGCTGTCGTTTCGTCACGTGTTGTGTGGTAGTGTTTGCCCGACCAACTTCAGCACCGCGTTCCGATTCGTCTTGGGGCGAGTCATCGTCGTCTGGAAACGGGTCAACGAGCTCTTCCACGTCCTGAACCGAGCCGCGAGACAAAGCGGACGTGCTCCGAAGCGGTTGGGGCGTTGGTGGTTTGCAAAATGAGTTGCCTACGCTGCGCGGCACTGGTGACACCCCTCCGTCGACGTAAAAAGCGAAATTTATAGCGTGCTGGAGTGGAAAATGAGCTTCCTCTCCTGTTCTTGGGTCGATCCACTGACACACCTTGTCACCACTAGGGTGATTTTCCTCACTCTCATCAGACCTTTCAGTATCTCGGACACTTGATTTGAAGCAGAACTACCGCCGGTACCGAGCAGCCGACTCAGAATTGACTGCTCCATCGCCTCTAGGTCAGTAGGACTCCACTCGTCGCTTCTGAACTCGACGTCTTCAAGCAACAGAACAATCACTGGTAGCACCACTGACACTGCAGCTGCCGCTGCCACAAATTCATGACCACCGGATCGGATCGTGACACTGCTCTGGTCGACCGAGGTCACTTGTCCATACTGAACCTCTCCAGCTAAACTGACGGACACGGGTCGTCGAAGCAACGAGATATGACCGGCCTGGGAAACTTCACTGGCCCGAACCACGTGATCTTCGGTGACGGCACGATCCAGTTTCCCTTCGCCTCCTTCCAAGCTGCGAAACGTCACCTCCTCCGAGTCTAGCTGTAAGACCTTAGCATAAAACGGATGCTCTGCTTCGAACTCCACCACTTCAGGTGTCAGGTGAAGGAAGGAGCGGCTTGTAAGTCTCACCATGACCGGAGTGCTGAAGGCTGAAAGCTAAAGCAGGAGGGCTTAAGCGGCAGACGGAGATTCTGAAACTAACGCTACGACCTCTACGACTGCTCCTAGCACTTGAGCGTTGGTTTCATCTCTGCTTTCTCTCCTCAAGAGCTATTTTCACCTTGAACTTGAAAATATCCACTTCAAATGGGTCAACATCCTCAGGTACAGCCCCTTCTGCAAGTTGTTCCAGCTGGTGGTTCACGTCAATACCCAAGGACACGAGAGTGTCATTGCCTAGGAGGAAATCTGTCTCACTCCCTTCCATGACTAAACACTTCACCTCTCGGAGCTTCACAGCGCCTGCAGCAGTTTGCAGCACGATGTCGAGTACTACTGAGTCGAAACAAGTCACAGGCGAACCTTCGGCGACATCCGCTTCAATGGGAGTAGGCAGTGGCTCAACTTCGACGCCCGAACCCAGAGCAATTAATTCTCCGACCACAGCACGAGGGATGACAGTAGAATCCGAGCCCGAATCGGCACAGTAGGGCAGAACCACTAGCTCGTTTACCATCACTTCACCCGGCTGAGGAGCCGTCCGAACAACCTTGACTCGTGCCCTGTCCTTCACTTCCTTCATCTCCTCGACAGCCCGAGCCTTGTCCTCGGCAGTCGCAGACGGACAGTCACCGAGCCAATGAGATCCCTGGCAGTGCCAGCACCCTGTCTTCGGTGGGGGCGACTCCTTCCTCTGGGATGGCACCACTGTAGGTGTCTTCCCGCTGCTGCGTTGAGTCGCGTTGATGCGCAGCTCAGAGTTGCAGGGCTCGTTCCTCGTGTCGGCATGCCCAGCCTTGCCGTTAGGAACAGACTTCGGCTTCTGCTCCATGCTCAGCAAATGATACTTATGTTGCGCTCTTGTCTTGTCTTTGATGATGTTGAAAAGCATGAAGTCGTTCTTCTTCGCCTCTCGGCACTCGTACTTACAGTGGCGCTTAAATCATCGCGCACCATTCTTGGTTCAAGGTTGTCAATCAAAATGGTGCACCGTAACTTCATGCGATCGGCAAACCCCTCTGCTTCGGGGTCACCGACACCAAGAATTTTCCCCAATCCGTTATTCTCAATGATCATGGCGAAATCTCGATAGTACTTGAGCACACGCGCGTCGATGTCATCCTCTGCGAGGTCGATTCTCAATTTTTTCTTGAAGAGCTCATCGAGGTCTGGGATTTGTTCGTTCTTCAAGGTGCCAATGCGTTGCTAAATCAGCATGAGGAGTTCCTCGCTACTGACATTCTCAACCGTCTTTCGTAGCTCGTAGAGACAAATAATCTCCAGAAGCTTCCGGTCGATTGATGACTTCACAGGCTTCATCGCGACTTCAGGTCGCTCACGGCTTTCGAGACAGCGTTGTCGAATAGTCTCTTCATACTGGTCTCGTGCTTGCTTTCACTTGACCAGCCCATCGTGGCTCCAGTCTTCCAGGAGAGGAGCCTTGATGAACTCGAATACAGGCTGGTTGACGGACTGCATGACTGCGTCCCCATCAGCCTCGTACTGCGGGTTGTTGCTTGCCATAGTAGCAGTCCCTAAGGACTAAAGTATACTTTGTGGTAGTTTCCGCGTTGCTTGGAATGCTGTTGTGCTATTGAGTGCAAGTTTAGAAGTGAGCTTCCTTTGTCTAGGCTCCTATTCCTGCTTTCACTCGAACGTCCTACTCCTATGATAGGCCTAAGAAGAGGTTCTTAGGCTTCGCCTAAAGAGTCGGTTGTTGTTCACTGCAACTTCACGTTGATCACTTTGCGATGGTGTTCTGGATTGTAGATAGCCTCTTTGCCTTTGAAGATAGACTGCTTGCTGTGCCGCAAGCTACAGTGCGTGTGCTGCCAACATCTTTTGATCGTCATCTCCAGTCTTCAACAGTGTAAGAATGGGAGGAATAGCCCCAGCGTTCTTCAGAGTCTCATGACCACCTGCTGCGGCAATACACGCACAGTAAGTCACAGCTTGCAGTTAGCCTTCATCATCGTCATCAGACAATCTTCTTGAAAGTGGCCCGCATTCTTCCAGCGTAGTATGCCCTTGATCTCGCTTAACGTCGTATCTTCTATGCCGGAAGCCAACTTCGTTAATTTGTACAGACATCGGAGGGAGCATAGCTTCGTAAAATGGCTGAGACCATTCTTCACCAGCTGAATAAAAGCAGGAACCCCATTCGCCTCGACAATTGCCTTGCGTTTTCCAGGATACATGCACGCAAACAAGAGAAACAACATGTCTTGATCTTGCACCCGTGGACTACTTGAAGAGCTAGCTGCAATCAGCGTCTTTGGAGACAGAAGGGGAGCTTGATAAGCCAATCGTCGTAGTTGGCTGGTTAGCTGTGCTACGTGACAATTGGGTCCCGCACTGCGAGCAAAACCGCGCACCAACGGCTACTGCCGAAAAACAGGACGGGCAAGCTTGTCCTGCGGTATTGAGAGCTTCAGAAGTGGCTTTAGTAGCAAACTCTTTTAGTTTGTCGATCACCTCGCTAAGCGGAAGGTGCTTCAAAGGATCCTTGGCAATCATAGAAAGCACCAGTTCCCATTCATCTCGTCAGGCTTTTCTGGAGTAGCACCACAAACGCGAGAAGGGTCTACCCAGGAAAATGGAACTTCACTGGTCACAGCCTCAATGATGCACGTGGCGAAGGAGTAAACATCGGAGGCGGCAGTTGGTCCTTTCTCCGGATATTCCGGCGCTCTCCACCGTAAATCGTCCTGCACCACTGCACTTGAGAACTTCTTCGAGGGGTCAAGTATCTGCGCATGGCGTCCAGCCCGAAATCCGCGAGTTTCGCCTGTCCGTCAGCCCAACGAGAATGTTGCTCAGCTTCAAGTGACCGTGGACGAACCTTTCTTATGAAGGTAGTCCAAACCAAGTGCTGCATCGTGCAGCATCGTCCACATCTTCTTATTATTATTGCTGTCCGAGCGTGCCAGAAAGCAGCCCAGATTCCCACCGGTCGTGTCTTCATAGACAACGGACGGCGGCGTGCTCACATGCGACCTTCATCACATTGGAGTGGTTCAACTGGAACAGCCTCCCCAACTCCCTTTCCACCTGAACCTGCGCGCGCTCGTCCATGGCCAAATCGTCCACCGAGAAGAACTCCACCACCACACTCTCGCCAGACTCCGCCATCACACCCCGATGCACGCTCCAAAAGTGTCCCCCAGCGAATGGCTCGGTCTCAAATTCCGCCTCATACAGAGGCAAAAACGATGGGGGCAACGTCACGTCCGCCCTCTTCACCCTTGCACTGATAACTCTCTCCATCAACGACTTGATCCGACGGATTGACGCCGCCTCGTTCCTCGCTGCACCTCGAACTTCAACGTCCACAAGGCCTCCACCTGAGTCCTCGAGCACTGCAGACTGCGGATGTCCACTGTATATGTCCACTGTACTTATGTCCACTGCATTATTCAGAGCTTGGTCCTGCAATTGGCAGTCGAGCTGCCAGCTCGTGTCCCAATTGGTGGGCGCCCCCACGTCCAGCGCCTCGAACACTCGCGCCAATTGGTCGGTCACTTGCTTCAAGTTGCTCGTCATTAACTCATTCTCAACATGAACGAGAAATTTTTTCTCATTCTCGGTGACTCTGAAAATAAGGGGCTTTTGTGATATTTCTGTAAAAAATGGAAGAAGGCCGCTAAGACTTCCGTGTAGCTGTCCAAAGCTGGGGGGCTGGGGGGTGCCCCTCGTCGCTCATTCGACACAGCTCCTGCAGGCGCGTGGCCACGCGCGCGCACGCGGGCCGCGCCTCCTTCATGTGGACACATAGGTGTTGGATGACGGGCAGAGCCTCGGCCACCGAGCCTGCGCCCGGCAGGTCGTCCATGTCATCGGGAAAATACAAATGTGATGACAAGCAAAGTATTGCCGCTTGCAAATACTTTGTCCTCTAAAATAGACCTCTAAAATAGACCACGCCTGTCTCTTAATATGAGTGGACATGATTTAGCTTTATACTGTGGTGGGGGCCGCTTTTAGGCCCAGAAACTCGGTTTGACCCATCTAGAATGGAATTTCTAGAAAAGCGTTTTGGTCGGGAAAACAGAGTCCCAAGCTTGCATGTTAGACCAGTACTGGCGATACTAAGCCGTGCTAAAGCACGGAGAAGCTCTGGATTTTATCATGTAGTTTTGATTCTAGGTTTGATTCTAAGTTAATTTATCTTAAATGTGCCTAGCAGTTCTACCCGAGGTTCTTTGCTTAGAGCGCAGTATCATTTAATTTCAGCAGTTGGTGCTTTTGTCTTTATTCGGGTTTGCTACCAAGTTCCGAAACCATGAAAGTATGCACTACCAACTATCTCAAGCCCTTACGCGAGCATGTACTGGTCACTCGCTATGCCTTAGCTATCTTGCAATAATATGCAGCCAACGTCAAGGCTTGAATGCGGCGGTAACGGTACGTATGCACGTGCAGAATGGTTGAAACGAGCACGTGCAGAATGGTTGAAACGAGACCAGCATTGTAATGGGCCCCATTTACATAAGTAGGTAGATTGACAGTACATAAAGTAGTTAAGTCAGTACACGGCTAGCGTGTACTGATGGTCATCGTGATTGGCTGAATTGGGGGAGCCAGACCCCATTTCAGCCAATCAGGCGTTGACCTGCATTTGAGTGGCTCACATGAGACCAGGGGTAGCCGCCCTGGTCCTTACATAAACAGAGTTGATTTTACCCAAGACTGACTGCTTGATCTCACAAAATCCGAGTCTTATCTAAGCTTCCTCACCGCTACGTGTAAGCTAGTAACGGACACACACCTGGCCCGTTACACCTGGTAGCACTTCGTAGTCCTTCCAACGACCAAGACCAAGATGAGCCAAGTCCTGACGTCTGGACCTTCAGGGGCAGCCCTGGAGCATGGTGCCTTCCCCCATCTCACGCGGATTGAGTGGGAAGCTCTCCACCGCCCCGCGGCGGTGTCCGGAGAGGCTGTTGTCACCTCGCTGCTGAGCTCCGCGATGCCGGAACAACAGCGCCAAGCTGCCCAAGAATTCATGGAACGCGAGCTCGCCGACGCGAATCGGCGGGTCGCAACTCCCTCGCGCTCCTCGAGGAACGACGTCGTCAAACTGGAGACATCGACATACTCCGGTGTGGGTGACGACCGGCTTCCGCTGAACCGCTGGTTCCGCGAGATCGACATCGCTATCGCCTCGCGCATGATTGAAGCGCCGGCGGCCAAGGTCAACTTCCTACTCTCCCGGCTGTCCGGGAAGGCCAAGGAGTGGGCCCTCGGCAAGCTCGTCGTCGACCAGCACGCGTTCTCCACCTTGGATGCGCTCCAGAGTGACCTCCGGCTCCCGTTCGAGCCGCCCCAAGACGAGTCGCGCGTTCGTGCTGAGTTCTTCGCCCTCAAACAAGGCAAGATGTCCATGCGCGACTACGTCCAGAAGACACGACACCTTGCGTCGTGCATTGTCACCCACCCCATTGATATGGCATGTCAGGTGCATGTCATTGTGTTCGGGATGCGCGAAGGCATGACGCGGTACTGTCTCACGAGAGCCGAACCTTCCTCGCTCGAGGAGGCATTCGCCCTCGCGCTCCGCGAGGACTACGTGGTGGCGGCATCGTACGCGCGCGCTATGCTGGACGTCTCTCGGGTATCCGCACCCGAGCCCATGGAGATCGACGCAATTGAGGTGCGGGTGATCGACGGCGCTCGGCTTATGGTGGGGGAGGAGGTCGGAGCGCTTGTCCTCTGACTTGCTTCCGCTGCCGGAAGATTGGACATCGCGCAGCAGAGTGCCGCGCGCCAGCCTCAGTTCTCGCGCACGTCGATGCCGACGCTAGCCCGGCCGCCCAACCGAAAAACGGCCGGGGCCAGTAGGTGCGAGGCGCCCTACTGGTTGGAACGAAGGTCCGGGACCTCCGGTGGCAACCCGGCCTTCTAGCCCTCCCGTGCTATATGCACGTTTTAATGCCACCACTACGAGTGGCGACTCGAGGCTGATCATCGTCAGCCTCCATGTCGCCGGCGCCCGACGTCCACTGCGCGCGCTCCTTGACTCAGGAGCGACAAACAACTCCTTCCGCGCGTCGTGTCTGTCGGTGCTTCCTGCGAGCGTTCGCGTCCGGAAGGGTCCGGGCGAGGTGGAAGTCAAGCTTGCGGATGGCAAGGCCCACCGCGTCGCGCGACGCGAGATGTCCCTGCCGTACACGTTCGACGGCTTCCGCAGCAACGACGACTTCCGCAGCAACGACGACTTCCTGGTGATCGAGGTGAATTACGCGTTCGACTGCATTCTGGGGATCCCGTGGCTTGCACGGTATCAACCCGAAATTGACTGGCTGGCTCGGTCAGTCAAGAGTCGACGTGGCTTCGACGTACGTGAAGTGTTCACGCATCTCTTGGCGGCTCCAAGAGACTGGCCTCACGTTACCGTCATGGACAAGACAGCCACGACGCAAGTTGTGCACAGAGCGAGCGATGGCCCTCTCTGCATGGCATGTGCCGTGCTGTTGGATGGTGATGATGTCCGGATGACATCGCGTGGGCGCGATGACGGACGCGTGGTCGAGTGACGTGCGCTCCCACACAGTGAGAACAAGTCGGCGGTTGAGCATGAATTCCCGTCGAGCTACAAGTCGGCGGTTGAGCATGGGTTCCCGTCGAGCAACGAGTCGACGGTCGAGCATGAGTTCCCGTCGAGCAAGATGTCGACGGTCGAGCGTGGGTTCCCGTCGCACAATGAGACGGCGGTCAAGCGTAGATTCCCGCCACAAGTTGAGCAGGCGGTCGAGCATGAGTCGCTCCCGCACAATGATGTTGCGGCCGGGAGCGTGGTGCAGCCGCATACCGCCAGTGTGATCGAGCGTGGCCTCTCACACCTAGAGGAGGGTGAATCATCGTCGAGCGAGAGCGATACGTCTTCTTCGAGCACCCGCTCGAAGCGAAAGAAGGAGTCCAAGCGACACCGCCTGAAGCCCCGTCGAGAAACGTCAGCGACTGAGAACCCACCGAAGGAGTCGGTGTGCGCTCTCGAGTACGTGGAGGGCGCTCCACGACGATCGCGCGTCATCGAAGTCGCGAGTCCGCCTCGCGATGCCAACACAATCACGCGTCTCCCAGGACTCTCCTGGAAGATTCCTGCGAGACCTGAAGGCAGGCGAGATCGAACAAGTGTGTCTGATCACCGAGGTGGTCCCGGTGGATACGCTGCACGCGGTCAAGGTCGAGGATGCGCCGTCGAAGCCCAAGCACGCCGAGCCCAAGTCAGCGCGCGAGGAGCGCTTCGCGGCGCAGTCCTGGGAAGCTCTGCGTGAGTCCGGTAACCCCGTGTACGAAACTGCCCGCGAGTACGCGGACATCTTCCCCGACAAGATCCCCGCTGAGCTCCCGGCGGACCGAGGCGTGCGCCACGAGATCGACCTCGCGCCTGGGACGAAGTACTGCGTGACGCGGCAGTGGCCACTTCCACGTGACCAGGTGAAGGCCATCGACGACTTCTTCGAGAGCCGCCACCGGGCAGGTTACGTGCGCGAAAGCATCTCGCCACACTCCAGCCCGACATTTTGCGTCAAGAAGGCAACGGGCGGGTGGCGCATTGTTCGCGCGTTCAACAAGTTGAACGATGCCACCATACCCGCGCAGACGCCAATCCCGCGCGAGGACATGATGCTGGACTCTATGGCGGGAAGCGTGATCTACAGCGCCATCGATCTGACCGATGGGTTCTACCACATCCTCATGCAAGAGTGTGACATACCTCTCATAGCGGTAAGCACTCCGAGCGGCATGCTCTGGGAGTGGCTGGTGATGCCCCAAGGTCTGAAGAACGCGCCGGCCACGTTTAACCGCATGGTCTCCCATGTGCTGCGCCCGCTCCGTGACTTCGTACCGAGCTACTTTGATGATATCTTCGTGCACAGTCGCACCGAAGGTGACCTCAGCGCTGTCGAAGTCCACCTGAAGCACCTGCGGCACGTACGAACATGACGCGCAGTACGCCAGCATCCTGGCCCACCTCCGCTCTCCAAGCGAGGCGACATTGAAGGCTCTGTCGCGCTCGACCCGCAGCCACGTCGAGCGATACCGGCTTGATGGCACCCTGCTGACGTACACCATCGACCGATTCGATGCCCCGAGAGTGGTGGTGCCGAATGACGAAGTCCTTCGCGCCCGGATCATCCATGAGTACCACAACGCTCCGATCGGGGGTCACTTGGGACGCGAAAAGACCTTCGCGGCGGTGGCGCGAGACTTCTTCTGGCCCCACTTGTACAAGTGGGTGGGCAAGTGGGTGCGCAAGTGGGTGCGCAAGTGGGTGCGCACTTGCCAGATCTGCCAGCGAGTAAAACCCTCGCCGTCATCGCAGGCTCCGCTGCGTCCCCTTCCGGTCCCCACGGAAGCCTGGCGCTCCGTCTCGATGGACTTCGTCTTCGGTCTTCCACCCGACTCGAACGGGCGCACGGGAGTCCTCGTTTTCGTCGACAGGTTCAGCAAGATGGTGCATCTCGTTCCCGTGGCTGCCACGGTTACTGCGGGAGAGTCCGCAGCCCACTTCGTCGACGCCGTCTTCCGCCTTCATG